TTCTTTTGCAACTTCCTTGATAGAGAAAAAAGCCCCTTCATCCATTAATATTTAAAAACTACCAGATCAACCTTTACAGAGCATCTTATTTATGTTTCTATTATTTTGCTGTAAATAATTGTCCAAACCCTCTGTGGCACTACTAGTTTTTCTCTTGGAAAATCATCTAATCATTTTTATGCACATTGAAAAAACATTGCTTACATATTTTTTGATACTTTAAACTGCACATTGTTATCTTTTTTTTTAAATTGTGTTTTACTTATTCTTTAAATGTAATTTAATTTTTATACTGCAGTGCACTGGAGACCTTGAGATGGCATGGGTAGAAACCACAGAAATAAAATTAACATCCCTACTCTTCATATGGATGAATGATGGCCTGCCACTTTTAACCTAAGATGCAAACTAGATGCAAATCTAAGATGCAAACTGGAGTGCAAGATAGTTTAGCCCTTTGGGGTCACCTAGACAAGAAGCACAATTGTAATATCTTTGTTGCAATGTTGCATTAACAGAACCTTTCAAATAGGAAAACATTTCTTCCCTCCTTTCCTTTTTCTTCCTGGTAAACTAGGGAAGATCCCTTTTGAGATGTCCCCCACGTCCCGCTTTTCTTCTGAGGGCTGAGATACCTTCTGCATGATGGTTTTTCTAATCCTTGGATCTTGCTCCTGTCTCCCAAAGTGATTCCTACAACACCATTAAAGAGAAGGACTAGGCTAAGGTCTGACAGGCAGTCTCATTGTGGAATAAGATTTGAACTCAGCTCTCTTCCAGTTAACCAATACCGCGATGCCTTAAAAAGGAACAGAATTGTGCATAATACGACTGATCACTGAATAACAGTGTTGTGTTCTAATCAGGCATTATTACCTTGGAGGAACTGATAGCAGTATTGCCATTTGGAGGAACTTTCGACTTGCTGGAGATCAAAGGTTCTGCTCTAAGGCAAGCATTTGAGCACAGTGTTCACCGACATGGGCAAGGAACGGGTGAATTGCTACAGGTCTCAGGTTAGCTACCTTCATCCGCTACCAGCACAAAGTGCTAAAATCTTTTTCATCGAGCATTAACAGTTCATCTTCTCTTGCTCAAAACCCTTTCCCCCCGGGGAGAATGATTTAATCTCCAGCATGGACATCATTCCATAGGTGTATGTGTCACTAAGGAGCCAGGTAACAGGAAATAAGAATCTGACTCAGACTTCCAGCTTGAATAGCATTGGATGTAAACAAACACAACATACTGGAGGCAACATTACTCACCTTTCCCAATATTGTTGCCAAACTGTGAGGGAGAGAGAGGGGGACGGGGAAAGGCACCCGAGCTTCGAACAAATAATGCCAAACATCTCAATCTTTGTTTGGGGTTTTCATGGGGATGTGCCTCAGAATAATCTGAAGTCCAGATCCCAGGGCAGGTCAGGTATAATTTAATCTAGCCTTGGTAGTAGAGATGACAATCAATCCAAGTCATGCAGTTGAGGTCTTCTGTAAACTCCTGCCCTAATTTCTTTCCCTGGAGCTACACTGTGCTATAAAAACGATGTTGCTGTAGCCACGTCATAAACAAAATGTTTCAGTATTTACATGCTGGGGATGAAGAGAAAGATGATTGTGAATGGCAGGTCAGTTCTTAGCATTAGGCTGTTTTTGAATCGGAGGTGAGCAGATGAGAAACATTTATTCATTCATGCTTTTATTTACTTAACGAAGGTCCACTTAACAATAGCGATTCATGGCAAAACGGCAATTGTTAACTATTACCCCTGCACTTATTTGTGGTAAATTCTTATAAAGAGGAATTAGTCACTCCTAGTTTAAAAAGATTTTCAAAAATAAAAATTACGCCGAAAAATTATTTTCCTATTTTGGTAGGGCACTTTTCCATTTTGTAATCCTACAGAAATATATTGATTTTATTTCCCTGCCCCAATTTCCATAAGCAATAAAGCTAGAAATGTACATGCATATTAGATTGTAGGCACTCCTAGCATGGTTTAAAAGAAAAGAAAAGAAAAGAAAAGAAAAGAAAGGGGGGATGGTTTAAGACTTTAAGGGAAGGATAAAGATAAAGTTGTTTTCAGAAGAATCAAATTTCCAATAGAAGTTCTTGCTGGAGGAAGAGAAAATTGTCAGAGGGGATTTTCCTGTAACCAGCACCATCTCCATCTTCTATACCAGGGGTGTCAAACTCACCACGTCACCGCGTGACGTATCGGGACTTCCCCCCCCTTTGCTAAACCCAGTGTGGGCGTGGCCAACGTGTGATGCATCTGACCCGTGGACCACAAGTTTGACAGCCCAGTTCTATACCAATCTGGAACGGGTACAAAGTGCTACCGTAGAATGAATTAAGAATAACTTCTCCCTTTCTGCTAGTAGAAGTGTTTTGTAAGCAGACTTGCATCCATGAATCTGGTTTTACCATTTGTCTATCCTCCAAAAGCCATGAATAGCACAACTGTTTATTAATACGTTTAGAGATACAAATATGAGATTTGTGATAGATGGTATCTAAAACATTTGTGACTTGTCTTTCTTAATAGGCATTAAAGTGGTGTATGATCTCTCCCGAAAGACAGGGAGCAGGGTGATCAGCTTAAATGTTCTTTGCACAGAGTGCAGAGTACCAACTTATGTGCCGCTTGAGATGGAAAAGTCCTACAAAGTGCTTTTATCTTCTTTCCTTGCCACTGGTGGTGATGGATATTACATGCTAAAGGGAGACTCAAGTAACCACAGCAGTGGTAAGTATTAGCCTTTCTGGTGATTAGCCAATGGCAAGGTAATTAGAATGACTAATTATGGAAGTACTGGAATTCATATCCCCGAAATGAATCTGCGTGACGTAACTAAGGACAGTATTGCTAACATCCCACAATTTCTATGTTCCCTTCTTCAAACTGCAACGAAAAAATATTGAATTGAGTTTGATTTGGGCCATTATGCAAATGAGGGAAAGTAGAAGTGCAAGGGACTTCACCATTTTCCTGTACAGCAAGATTTGATATAAAAATACAAAACTTGATTGAAGTGTCATCTTCGATCAAGAGCCGTGGTAGCACAGTATTGTAGTATTGCAGACTAACTCTGCCGATTGCCAGTAGTTCGATCCTGATGGCTCACGGTTGACTCAGCCTTCTATCCTTCCGAAGTCAGTAAAATGAGGACCCAGATTGTTGGGGGCAATATGCTGACTCTGTAAACTGCTTAGAGAGGGCTGTAAAGCACTGTGAAGCTGCTTGTAAGTCTAAATGCTATTGCTATCATTTTCGTCTCTTTTACTTCCAAATAGAATAATCAAGTAGCATTTGTATTCAAGGTATTAACACAGGTTTTCAGGGTATTAACACAGGTTTATTTATAAACTAGCTAGGAAAAATCTACTTGTGAATCAAAAATGCAGTTGGGAGAGTAGAAGATCTCAAGTTTCTCTCTAAAGAAAAGATTTTCACTGCTCTTTTATATCTGGTAGCATGGTTGGTGCTGCTTCCTTACTGTACACCACCAGCAGGAAACCTCTTAAGGCTCCAGATGCTGCGTGTGCAGTTTATAAAATCTAGGAATAGAAAGACAGAGAAATCTTAATATGCATAAGCAAGGACAGCGGCAACCATTCAAGAAAATGCACATTAGCATTCAAACGGCCATTCTGCTCAGTCATGAAAACACAACATTAGCAGAGTTGCCTTGAATGATATGGGCTGCTATATAAATTTGATAAACAAACTTTTGAGTGTTTTCCATTTCAAATAGCAGTAAATGGATCCTGTGCAGGTTTTTTAAAAAGAGTACTAAAGTTAAAAGCCAGGGGTTTACAGTGCCCTAAAGTATTTGACTAACATTGGGGACTGCCCGGTTCAAATGCTTACTCAGCCGTTAATTTCACAGCAGAACACTGAGTCAGTCACTATTCTCAATTTAATCTACTAAAAACTGGGCTCCTGGGCGATATAAAATGAAGGTTACATGGGAACAGAACCACTGGATATACTTGGCTGCAGATTCCCTGGACAAAGTACAAGTGTGATTACTTTTCAAAAATGAAATTACTCCCTTTGCACAATGTCTATTTGTTATAAGAATAATGTGATCAGAATTCAAGTTTTTGAAGACTCTCCTAAGAGTATACTGTCATAGTAGAAGGCAAGGAGATGTAACATTATTGCATTGTATAAAGACAAGGAATTTAACAGTATCCAGAACACGTTTCATTGTTTGAAATCTATTTAACACAGATCATTTATAGGCAGTTCATAATTGGCTAACATGAAATAATTAAGTTATTTAAATAATTTGTTTTAAACAGGTGATCTTGATATTTCCATTGTCGGTGACTACATCAAAAGAATGGGAAAGGTTTTTCCAGCAGTGGAAGGTCGCCTTATGTTTTCGGCTGGGACTTTATTCCAAGAACATCTTTTTTTGACCTGGGGATTATGCATTTCACTTTTATATTTCATTCTTTAATTTCAAACTTATTTCAGACTCTTTGGTCAACAGTTCATGCACTCTTAAAAGCTAGCATGTAAATTTTTAATTACCCTCGGAGTGGTTGGAATCCTTTGAAGTTTACTACAATATGTATATGATTTATGTATATAATGTGTATATATGTAGCATCTTTGATTTTTTAAAAAAGCAATTTAAATGATCCCAAAAGGCAAATGATTATTATCTGGGGGACATTCACAAATGCAGAAATATAAATCGCAGATTTCCATTTGCATCTGAATAACAGCACAATGCATGGTTGGAGAATTCCAACCAAATTACTCATGAAAAGTGGCCAGTGACAGTAAATGGTGTTATGCAACAATTTCTGTAAAATCTGTTTAATAAAAAGAGCATTCTTTCATTTTTGGTTCTGTACATGATCTTCAGTTAATGCAAAAGTCATCATGAATGAAGTCTGAATAATCTTTCAAAGTCATGTTCTGCATTTTTCCTCAGCGAAAATTATTCAGAAGAACAAATAATGGGATTTTCCTGAGATTCAATAAACAATAGGCTTTAATCAATCTTTTTTGAGTAAAAGTTTGTTTTCTGAAATAAAGGTTAATTATATGTACAAACAAATATACAAGACTAAACAAATAACCTAGTCATTAAATTAGCACACAGCAGTCATCTATGAAACGGAGTTAATTCAGTATCTCGATGTATATGTGATCTTGATAAGATAAAGGAGCCATTCTTTTCAACCTGTGAAAAATAATGGGGGAGGGAGGGGAGAGAAATTATGTCAGCCAATGAAAAGACCACCACTATTTAGTACAATAAATATAAGTAATACTAAAACAGTGGTTCCTTGGTACTCAACTGCTTTGAAACTTATCAAATTTAGTACTTAAATGTGTTTTGACATGAAAATTTTGTCCTGGTACTCATCATTTATTTGCTACTCAATGCACAAGCTAGATCTTGTAGGTGTTGCTGCCTTATGACTCACTACATTATTACTTATGGAAAAAATCTGTTTGGTACTCATCATTTTTGGTACTCATCAAGCCTTCTGGTACCAATTAACAATGAATACTAAGCTATCTAAGTACTATCCTTTCAGAATAGCCTAATAAAAATGGCTGATCTTCCTTTATGCATTGATGAATTAAGGGCCACCATCTAACTAAGATACTTCACAAAAGCTTAATGGAGGTAATGCAGTGAGGTTGAACTAGATAATCAGTAAAATCCTTCCAACTCATCTTTTCTACAATGCTTTAATTCCTTTAGTTCTTTTCTGAGGAAAAAAACCTAATAATTAGAGGAAGCAACTCTTATGTTCAAAGGATATTTTGCCTAGATTAGTATTTTACATCATCGATCAGATAAATTAGAACTGTTTGTGTTATGACATACCATTCAACTCTGGAAATAGTTCTTGAATCCCAATATCCAGTAAGACATATGTTAACTAAAAATAAAATGCAAAGAAAAGTTGCAATTTTGAACTTTTAAAGTATTACCTTAACATGGAAAGGTCTGCATAAATTTAGCAGATCAAAGAATTACCATTCATTAGATAATCAGAATCTTCAAACATTAGCTAAAATTATTCTCAAATTTCAAAGAAAGCTTTTAACCAGTAGTCACAATAAATTACAAACCATCTTTAAGAATTTTCAAAATAACCTAAGTCTACTTACCCACAAAAGGAAATGTGTCAGAGGCCCAATGACAGCAGCATGAAGTTGAGAACTAGTAACCACTGGTGCCTATCATCCATATTTTGTGTCCATCCTGCTTTATGTCCACTCTTGCCTTCTAAGTCTTTCTTATTTTCTGCCTTGAAGCTCTAACAGTTACCAGTTCTTTCCTGGGTATGTTTGGCCATCCATCCATCCATCCATCCATCCATCCATCCATCCATCCATCCATCCATCTCTAAAGTTCTCCATTCCTGATCTCTATTTTTTTGCTTTTTCTTCTGCACTCTTTTCCTCCTTTTCCATCTTTTCTCAACAAATTATACTACCTAGATTCTTCCATTTATTCCTCCTCATATCCCCAGGCTTTCCATTTCATAAATCCTCACCCCCCTTTTCACTCTGATACAAAGATTACCTTCATTTACAGATACAAATGTAAAACAGATTGGCTACGACTAACACAAACAGCATTCTGTGGACCACATCCAATCTTGAGTCTGGAAATGCCAAAAGATTTGGCCTAGTTTTACCTAACTTAGCCCATTAATGACATTTGTTATTCTGGATTGCTTAATTCTTTGATCAATGTTCCTGCTCTTTAACTGCAGAAACACAATAATGCTATGCTTATTAATTGTGCTGCTCTCTCAGCCACACATCTGTCATACAGAAACAGTATTTGGAAATAAATTCCTAAAACTTTGAATATTATTTCTTTACATGTTGTTTTGCATACTAGCTATTAATGTTAAGACAGCTGTGCATGCACTTGTAATGATGCACACTATTTCAAAACTGTAAATTAAAACTGATAAAAATTCTACCCTTAAATGCAATAGGTGCTTTGTTTGTCCAACAGAACCCACCTGTTTGTTAAGTACTGGCTGCTGCAATCCATCAAATAGAAGTCTGATGCCTTCATATTTTGCATCTTCCCCAATACATTTACCTATCAGATCTGGGAAAAACATCACAACGTAAGTAAGTCAAGTCAAACAAAAGGAATTCAAACTTCAAGCCTGACCCTGAATGCTTTGTCAGCTCAAACGTCTATTCTACAAAAGGATAACTGTTGGTGGGAACTGAATGAACATGATTTCTGTACAACATTTTAGCGGGACACTTTAAATGTACAATGGGCAGCCAGTATATTTCTTACCATATAAAATCATCTGATTGCCTGCAATAACCAATTGTACCTTTTCCTTTGATGGGGAGGTCTTTCAGTCACTCATGCCTTGGTTACTTCAATATTGGATTATTATAATGCATTCTACATGGGGCTGCAGATCATACATGCAGGTCAAATTGAGTTTTGAACATTTATTCTTGACGCCTTTAAGAGGGAAGGAATGCAATAAACAAGCCCCGTTCAGTTTCCAGCTGGTGTATAGCTGAGACACATCACATAGGGGATGCAGAAACTGTTCCCTGCTTGCACTTCCATTCCTTTTAGCTAATTTCTCAGATCAATGAAGTTCAGCTCTTTGCTCCTGAGTCTTCATTAAGTGCTCTGCCTCGGACTAAGGACTGAAAGTCTGAGGAGACATCAATAAGGATGTCTCCTCAGAATAAGGAGACTAAGTGTGAATAAGGAATCTTGGGAATGTGCTGGATTTCCATCTTCCTCATCTGAGAATGTGTTCTCCAGCAGGGCCATAAGAGCCGAAAACTAAGTTAATGCAAAATTTGCATTTGCTAATTTGAAGCACGTAGATTAACATATCTAATCTGCTCCACTGGCTTCCAATTTGCTTTCAGGCACAGTTCTTAACAATCATCTAAATACCTTGAATTTTCCATCATGTAAAGAAATTAGACTGAGCAGGTAGGAATGTCATTTTTGAAGCAGCTCTCAACTGTAGAAATCTCAAATGAGAAAAATGGCCTGTGTAGCTCCATAGACATTTTAGCCTAGGTGTTTGGGCACTTTCTTAGTGATTACACTAATTAGAAGAAATTGTCCACATGGGACGGTTGCTATGCACCAATTCTTCTCTGCTGTCCAACTAATTCCCCACCAAGGTTATGTGTTAATTATTAATTAAATTTATATGGTGACCAACATTATTCTGCAAAGCAACTCTGGGTGATTTACAATTAAAAATTAGTTATTCCTCAGTCCCAAAGCATTTCCACTTCTCCAGATAATAGGTAAGCAAAATCTCATCCAAAACCCTCATTATAATACAGATATTTAAAACAAACCACAACAACTTTCCTTCAATAGCGTGTTTCTTTAATACAGATAGTCCTCGACTCACAACTGTTCATTTGTGGTCTTTGGGTGTTAAGTGAATTTCGTTGTATGGATATATTGTGTATACACGTACTGTGTATACACATACAATGACAAAGTTATTATTATTATTATATTTTATTCATTAAAAATGAAACTCAGTCAACTGGACATTTAAAAATGTGTCACAAATACCATTGACTGGTGCTAACCAGGGTTGCTGCCAGTGTCCTAGGTATCAACCAAGTACCTTTTTAAAATATATTATTATTATTATTTAATCTTTAGTGAGATTCACAGCCTTTGAGGCTGGTTAATAGCTCAGCAGCTCGAGTCCTAACCAAGGACCTAGGAACTGTTAAGGTATCGTTGGAGGATGTAAGCTGTTCCGAGTAAAGTGGTTTTTTGTAGAGTCAAAATGTTCAAGTCCGGCAAATTTAGAATTTCTAAATAGCGGGGTAGCCCTTTGGGTATTGCTCCAAGGGCTCCAATTACAATCGGGACAACACACGATTTCTTTTTCCACAGTCGCTCAACTTCAATTTGCAAATTCCGGTACTTTGTGATTTTTTTCTTGCTGCTTATCTTCAATCCGTGCATCACCAGGTATTGCAATGTCAATGAACCATACTTTTTTTCTTTTCAACTATTGTTATGTCAGGTGTGTTGTAGACCAAGTGCCTGTCAGTCTGAATCCTAAAGTCCCACAAGATCTTGAGTTTCTCATTCTCTAAAACTTTCTCAACCTGATGTTCCCAGTGGTTTTTGCTGTACTCAAATCCAAACTTCTGGCACAATTTCCAGTGAATGATCTTAGCAACACGGTCATGGCGTTGTAGGTAGTCAGTTTGTGTAATTTTGCTGCACCCACTGATCAGGTGGTCGACTGTCTCATCTTTCTCATTGCAGAGGCGGCATTTGCTGTTGGTGGTAATATGTTGAATTTTTGCCTTCATACAGTTTGTGGCTAGGGCTTGTTCTTGAGCTGCCAAAATAAAGCTTTCTGTTTCTTTTTTCAGTACTCCTGATCTTAACCAGTTCCAAGTTAGTTTCTGGTCTATTATTATTATTTATTGGTTAATCCTTAGTGAGATTCACAGCTTTTGAGGCTGGTTAATAGCTCAGCAGCTCGAGTCCTAACCAAGGACCTAGGAACTGTTAAGGTATCGTCGGAGGATGTAAGCTGTTCCGAGTACGGTGGTTTTTTGTAGAGTCAAAATGTTCAAGTCCGGCAAATTTAGAATTTCTAAATAGCGGGGTAGCCCTTTGGGTATTGCTCCGAGGGCTCCAATTACAATCGGGACAACACACGATTTCTTTTTCCACAGTTGCTCAACTTCAATTTGTAAGTCCCGGTACTTTGTGATTTTTTCTTGCTGCTTATCTTCAATTCGTGCATCACCAGGTATTGCAATGTCAATGAACCATACTTTTTTCTTTTCAACTATTGTTATGTCAGGTGTGTTGTGGACCAAGTGCCTGTCAGTCTGAATCCTAAAGTCCCACAAGATCTTGAGTTTCTCATTCTCTAAAACTTTCTCAACCTGATGTTCCCAGTGGTTTTTGCTGTACTCAAATCCAAACTTCTGGCACAATTTCCAGTGAATGATCTTAGCAACACGGTCATGGCGTTGTAGGTAGTCAGTTTGTGTAATTTTGCTGCACCCACTGATCAGGTGGTCGACTGTCTCATCTTTCTCATTGCAGAGGCGGCATTTGCTGTTGGTGGTAATATGTTGAATTTTTGCCTTCATACAGTTTGTGGCTAGGGCTTGTTCTTGAGCTGCCAAAATAAAGCTTTCTGTTTCTTTTTTCAGTACTCCTGATCTTAACCAGTTCCAAGTTAGTTTCTGGTCTATTATTATTATTTATTGGTTAATCTTTAGTGAGATTCACAGCTTTTGAGGCTGGTTAATAGCTCAGCAGCTCGAGTCCTAACCAAGGACCTAGGAACTGTTAAGGTATCGTCGGAGGATGTAAGCTATTCCGAGTAAGGTGGTTTTTTGTAGAGTCAAAATGTTCAAGTCCGGCAAATTTAGAATTTCTAAATAGCGGGGTAGCCCTTTGGGTATTGCTCCGAGGGCTCCAATTACAATCGGGACAACACACGATTTCTTTTTCCACAGTCGCTCAACTTCAATTTGTAAGTCCCGGTACTTTGTGATTTTTTCTTGCTGCTTATCTTCAATTCGTGCATCACCAGGTATTGCAATGTCAATGAACCATACTTTTTTCTTTTCAACTATTGTTATGTCAGGTGTGTTGTGGACCAAGTGCCTGTCAGTCTGAATCCTAAAGTCCCACAAGATCTTGAGTTTCTCATTCTCTAAAACTTTCTCAACCTGATGTTCCCAGTGGTTTTTGCTGTACTCAAATCCAAACTTCTGGCACAATTTCCAGTGAATGATTTTAGCAACACGGTCATGGGGTAGGGGTTGTAGGTAGTCAGTTTGTGAAATTTTGCTGCACCCACTGATCAGGTGGTCAACTGTCTCTTCTTTTTCATTGCAGAGGCGGCATTTGCTGTTGGTGGTAACATGTTGAATTTTTGCCTTCATACAGTTTGTGGCTAGGGCTTGTTCTTGAGCTGCCAAAATAAAGCTTTCTGTTTCTTTTTTCAGTACTCCTGATCTTAACCAGTTCCAAGTTAGTTTCTGGTCAGCTTTGCCTTCAATACTTTTCAAGTATTGGCCATGCAGAGCTTTGTGTTTCCAATTTTCAGCTCGCTGCTCAATTACTTCTTTCTTATATTCTGCTTTTGTTTTAGTTGTCTTTAAAAGGCCTCCTTTATTTACTTCCTTAATCATTGGTTCTTCACTTTTCTGGATGTAACCATTCAAGCTGCATTTTTCTTCTTCCACAGTCTGCTTTACTTGTAGGAGTCCTCGACCACCCTCTGCTCTTGGTAAATATAATCGGTCAACATCACTTTTAGGGTGCAAGGCATGATTCATTGTCATAAGCTTCCTTGTTTTTCTGTCCAAATTGTCTAACTCCATCTGGGTCCAGTCAATTATTCCTGCAGAGTATCTAATCACAGGTATAGCCCAGGTATTTATGGCTTTTATGATGTTTCCTCCACTCAATTTGGACATTAATATCTTACGAATTCGTCAAATGTACTTGGCTGAAGTTAATTCCTTGACTTTATTATGCATTAAGTCAGAGGCTTCTAAAATTCCCAAGTACTTGTAGCCTTCTTCTGATTTTACTGCCTTTATCATTTCTTCATTCTCTAGTTCTATTCCATCCTCTTCTATGATCTTGCCTGCTTTGGTTGCTATTGTTGCACATTTGTCAATTCCAAACTGCATACCAATGTCTTGGCTGAATTCTTTTGTGTTTTCAATTAATAAATTCAGTTCAGCTTTTGTTTTACCAAACAGCTTCAAATCATCCATGTACATCAAGTGCGAGATTTTCAGTCCTTTCTTTGCAAGTTCGTATCCACAGTTCATCTTCTTCAAAATGATTGTCAGTGGTAGCATTGAGAGTATAAAAAGTAGGGGTGAAAGGGAATCGCCCTGGAAAATGCCTCGTTTAATTTCAACTTCACCCAGTTCTTTTTCATTAGCCATAAGTTTTGTTTTCCAGAGGTTCATTGAAGATTCCATGAATTTTTGTATGTTGCTGCTGATGCCTAATATTTTCAGGCATTTCTTGATCCAGCTATGGGGAACTGAATCAAATGCTTTCTTATAGTCTATCCAAGCCATGAACAGGTTGGTTCGTCTTTTCTTTGAGTTCTTTAGGATTAGCTTGTTGATCAGCAATTGATCTTTTGTTCCTCTTGAGTTTTTGCAGCATCCTTTCTGTTCTACAGGAAGCAAGTTATTTCTTTCCAGGTATCCATAGATTTGGTTTGCAATGATACCAGTAAGAAGCTTGTATGTTGTTGGCAAGCAGGTGATTGGCCTATAGTTTCCAGGGTCCTTTCCTTTTTCTTTATCTTTTTGGATCAAAAATGTCCTTCCAGTTGTCATCCATCCATCATTTTCAGGTGTTTTTAGGATCTGGTACATCTGGGTTGCCAATCTTTTGTGCAGACTTGTAAGTGCCTTTAACCAGAAGCCATGCAGCTCATCCGGTCCAGGTGCACTCCAGTTCTTCACTTTTCTTGACTGTCTTTGCACCATTGCTTTTGTTATTTTCACGTCTTCCATTTTATGCATTTTAATAGAGTCCTCAACCTGTTTGATCCATTTTGCATTTCTGTTGTGCTTCTTGTTGTTTTCCCACAAATTCTTCCAGAATTTCAGAGCTTTATTATTATTATTATTATTATTATTATTATTATTATTATTATTATTGTTCAAAGTTACAAGGACACTGAAAAAAGTGACTTATAATCATTTTGCACACTTATGACCATTGCAGCATCCCCACGACCATGTGATAAAAATTCAGATGCTTGGTAACTAACTCACATTTATGACGGTTGCAGTATCCTGAGGACATGTGATCACCTTTTGTGACCTGACAAGCAAAGTCAATGGGGAAACCAGATTCACTTAACAACCATGTTACTAACTTAATAACTGCAGTGATTTACATAACAATTGTGGCAAGACAGGTCACAAAATGGGAGCAATACTCACTTAACAAATGTCTCATTTAGCAATGGAAAATTTGGGCTCAATTATTGTCGTAAGTCGAGGACTATCTGTATTTAGTGAAATAGCTTAATTCAGTTACTTGATTAATTTTCATTTCCCAAGATCAGACTACTGATCTTTTATGGTCTTTTTTTTTTTTTAATTTGATTTATATGCCGCCCTTCTCCGGAGACTCAGGGCGGTTTACAATGCGTTAAGCAATAGCCTTCATACTTTTGTATATTTATACAAAGTCAGCTTATTGCCCCCACAATCTGGGTCCTCATTTCACCTACCTTAGAAAGGATGGAAGGCTGAGTCAACCTTGAGCCTTGGAGAGATTCAAACCAGCAAGTAATTGCAGGCAGCTGTGTTAATAACAGGGTGCTTAAATCACTGTACTATCAAGGCTCTTGACCTAGAGCTCTAAGATTAACCTAGGATTTGCTTAACCTTGGTTTCATGTCCTTTCCTAGATGCATGATTGCCTCTTTCTGTCACTCAACACACATTTTTAGAGCCAGATTTTCTTTTTCATTTTCGTGGACCACTTGTCTTAACAGTTGAAAGAAATCCACTCCCAATAAAGCACCCAAACCAGGTGCATTTGGGACTTGGTTCTATAGTGCAGGGAGTATGACACGTCCTGTAAATCTCAATTTCCATTTTGGCATTTTGTCTTGGTTATGTCCTGGGCATGAGCTGTTGGTTTTGAGAAAGGGATTCAGAATATATTTGTGAAGATGCTAACAAAGTTCAGCCTCACCACCATCCATTCTCCAATTCTTAAAACCTTCAGGGTTTTTGTTCGTTTGCTTGCTGCCCCCTTTACTTCCATGTTCCATTTCTGTTACCCATCCTCTTTTGGATATTTAAGTACAAAACTGGTTTCCTGAACTCTTGTCATTTATCTAGGAGAAATAGTTCTAAGAAAAGGTCATCTTTTGTTTCCGTTTAGCATAACATTTTTGATTATCATATTCTGGGTTCCATCTAATTTTGCCTTCATACAGAGTCAAGCTGGGAAATTTGCTCCATTCCTCAGTAGTGGGAACACTGGCTGACAGCTGAAATTCAAATCCATCTGGAAGATCTGCAGTAAAAAAATAGTTCTACCAATCTAAATCTAGTATGGAATCTATTGCCTACCAAACCTACAGGGGGGTTAATTGGAAAGCAGTGTGCATAGCTCCAGTCATACAGTTTATATATACTAGAAATTGCACTGCCTGCATGCAGGAGCCATGATGGCTCAGTGGTTAGAATGCAGTATTGCAGGCTAACTCTGCCCACAGCCAGGAGTTCGATCCTGAACGGCTCAAGGTTGACTCATCCTTCCATCCTTCCGAGGTTGATAAAATGAAGACCTAGATTGTTGGGGGCAATATGCTGACATTCGTAAACTGCTCAAAGAGTGCTGCAAAGCACTATGGAGCGATATATAAATCTAAGCGCTATTCATGTGGCTGACAACCTGTTTCATGAATTAAAATCAGGGCATTTCTAATCTCTATATTTTCTTCCACTAAACACTATACAACAGTAATATCGTAGCCCAGGTCATGCTCTCAACTCAAAGGGCGTATCGCTTCCTGAAGATGTTATGTCCAGTAAAAGCTTTGGTCACTGCCACTATTAGAATAAAGAGGAATAGCTTGTAAAGGGGACAGGAAAAGGCCAATACCTATAAAGCCTATTTGGGCTTCCTGAGTTTTAGCAAGGTAATACATCTGAAGCTATTTCTAAATCCTATACCCCTTTCATACTAGAATGCTTTGATAAACATATAGTAGTAAGAATGTTTATATTAACAAGTGCCATTCAACCTGATGGACTTTGGTCATTTAGACTGCCTCTCTTCTTGATAAATCATGCCACATAAACACTGAACCTGGAATGTATTTCATCATTTCTTCAAAGGTCTGCTTTGCCCGTTTGTGCTTATCTTGGAGAGAGCGAGGTTGAGAATTCTCACAAAATACAGCATCTAAAAAACAACAACAAGAAGACATTTTTTTGGACAATGTAGAACTACCCATACAGGTTTGCTTTAATTACTGTATTTTTCCTAGTATAAGACACACTTCCCCCCACCCTCCTAAAAAAGGGCAAAACTTTGTGTGCATCTTATACACCGAATGTAGCCCTGCCCACCAACCAGCCCCCACCCTTCGGCCTCCACGCGTCCTCTCAAACGGAGCTCAGAGAGCCTCTCAAACAGCTTCCAAAAGGTCCGTTTGAGAGGCTGCCTTTGCAAAGAGAAGCCCCTTTGCAAACAGAGCTTTTGGAGCTTTGGAGGCTGCAAATGCAGCCTCCCAAACAGAGAGCCTCTCAAGCAGATTTTTTTTTTTTCTCGTATTTTCCTCCCACTAAAATAAGGTGTGCCTTATACTCCGGAACATCTTATACTCTGAGAAATACGGTAGTTGGCCAATTTAAGTCACTTAAATAACAGACACTTGGCCCCAGAGTAATACGGTAAAATTAAATTTGCTTTATTTAGCTTTTGCCTGTGGTAGACTGCCAACCCTTCTCCATGTACGCACAGCAACACCTTTGATAACAACAAAGGTTTATTTGCAGCTTTCTACTAACCTCTGAGGAGTGTTATCAGTGAGACCAGACGGTGTTCCTGAAAGAACTGTTCTAGTTTGTACTGCAAGTAGTTGTCGATATATTTTTCTAAGGTATTTTTGAAGAGAATCCTTCCACCCATCAAGATGTGATGAAGCCAGTCAGGAATATGGAAAACAACTCTAGCTGTAACATAGAATACCTTTTATATTATTGTAGAACCCAAAGTTTAACATCAAAGCAACTGTTTCATCTTTGACTAAAAGTCTACTTTCTCAACTTACACTTTTAGATTTCACACTATTAAAAAAAGCTTATTTTCCAGCCAGTAATGGAAGATGGCACAATACTTCAGTTCTGACACCGAGAACAAGAGTACTTTAAATACCAGGAGAATCGTTGCCTTCATCTACCATCGATATCTTAGTAACGGCCTTGCTGGATTAGCCAGACTGTGACCTGATCCAATGAAGGCACAAAATGAAAAAAACTGTTGAACACATCCAGCCGCAGCTGATTTCCATGTGACCTGCAGAACCTGGTTTTCATTAACTTGCAACATACAGGATTTGACAGATATTTGATTCCTGATTCTTGAAAACAAAGGAGTCTTCCCGTCTCTAAAATACTGTAATTCTCATTAACTCATACTCAGTTGTTATAAAAACAGAAATATTCTTGTCTTACAGAATTTGGGGATGGGTTTGTCTCAGTAGGTGTTTGATTTTCCCAGGGCGGGCATGTTTTTTAGCATGTCTGGGAAAGTTCCGTTCTCCCTGGAAGGGAGACATCCAGGGAACAACAAGGCTAAACTGGGAAGTTGAAAGAAAAAAAAAAAACACCTCCTGGAAGAGAGCCGTGGCAAACTACTTCCATATTCTAGCCAAAATAATTATCCATGCAGTCAAAGAATTAGAGCTCAACTCATGAGTTTACTTTTCAAAACAAAATTACTCAGTGCTGATTGTTTCTTAAAAAATATTACTCAGTGATAGCTAATCAGAAAAGTCTATTTAATTTCTCCTTGTCCCACCCCCTTCTATCCAGTCCCAATGGTTTTATCAAGGAAAATGAACACAAGGCAAAGGGATTTTCATCTGCAAGTCAACCTTTATATATATATAAAATAGAAAATAGTCCTAATTTGCCTTTCATGCATAATCAGAAGTATGATATTATACATTCTTCGAGTATGCTCTGGAATTTTAAACTCATCATATTTATCTTTAAATCATTCCTTAAACCCAAACAACATATTGTCTACTAAAACGAATTTCTATCAGTCTGAACAGACGAAAATCAATTCAAAAGATCACAAAGTTAATTACAAAGTTAATTTAACAGAGTATTCATATTCTCAAATAACATATTCCTAAATCAAGGCTTACACTGTACAGTGAATAATTTAACAGATTTTTCCAAATCATACACAAATCTAATATTTATTTAATTGTTTCTGTTTCGTGTTTGACATATATTTACAGTAATATTTTATTTATTTATTTACCATCCAGAGTCCCTCTCTGAGGGAGATAGGTTAAGAAATATGAAATACTGTGTTTCTCAGAAAATAAAACCGAGTCTTATTTTCTTTTTTCTTTTTTTTTCTTTGATTTATATGCCGCCCTTCTCTGGAGACTCAGGGTAGCTTACAATGCGTTAAGCAATAAGCAATTTTAGACTTTTAGACTTGAAAATAAGCACTTGGGCTTATTTTTGAGGCAGTCTTACTGTTTTTGAGGTGCAGCAGGCCAGACTTGGTGAACTGGACATGCTGTGGATGCACCGTTGCCTCCATTCCAAACCTTCAGCGTTCGGAATGGAGGCTTTTTGGCGAACGGGAGGAAAATGGGGAGGGGGATTTTCCTGCCTGCCATCCTTCCCTCAGTCTGTGCTGAAGTTGAGGAATGGAGGACAGACAGGAAAATTCCCCTCCCCATTTTCTTCCCGTTCGCCAAAAAGCCTCCCGCTCGCCTCCCAAAAAGAGGGAAAAAGCAAAGCAGCTACCCGCGGAGCTGCCAGCTTTGGGGAAGTGGCCCAACAAGCAGAAGCGCTGGGCCCAGAAAGAGAAGGGCAAAAGCAGTATTTGCGCTACCCAAAGGGGCCAGCGGGCTGCAACTGCAGCAGGACAGTCCCCCCCCCACTCTTGGTTGTCATGCCCATCCCCTGGGCTTATTTTTGGGTAGGGGTAATAATAGGCCCACTTCCCAAAAATTAGGGTTGGGCTGATTATTGTTGTTGTGTTTTCGGAGAAACACGGTATAAACAAATAAATAAATTCATTAAATTTATATATGCCACCCATTTCACTATTAAGTGACTCCCAAGATAATTTGAAATATTACTTCTCTCTCAAATTGTAAAAATATTCATATGTTGAGAATTTTTGTCAATGCATATTTATCCGGGACAGAATTACTACCTATGCAGTATGTTGTAATAACTTTTCTTTCAGCTTGTAGAAGCCTGCCATTCTAAGGAATTTATGACTGTGAGAACCCTCATCTCTTATTTTTTCCTGGCTTTAAATTCCACTGGTAAAGCCCATGAAATCAGGAACATATACTGGCTTGCCTTCTCTTGGCATCCTCTTCTAAAAATACTTTGGTTTCATTTGCCGGTGATGAAATGATTTTTCTAGAGCTTTTCTGTGCTACAGTAATATTCTAATTTAAATAATTAAAATGCACAGACAGTGGTGGCATTGATTTCACAACCAGTCTACCAGATCTTGTATTACAAAAGAAGAAGCAGAAAACAAAATCAAGATCACTTGCACTCATCCACTTCCGCTTTCATTCTCAGAAAACCCTACCAGCAATTTCTTACCAATATACATTAAGTAGTCATAAACTCCTTCAACCGTCATCATCTGCAAGAAGTAGTTCTCATTCTGTCTTCTTTCTAAATTCTCAGAACGGTTTGCATTGTTCTTATAGAGTTCGTTATATAGCTAAAACCAGAGAAAAATCAGGTTTTTAAAAAAGCGTGAATGTTGTGGAATTTGTCACCAAACAAAAAAGTAATCATTGATTATGGGTGTATTCAGTGGGAATTCCCTTTCACAATTTCGGTGGCCCCAAATAAAGCTGCCAAAATGTAATGACATACAGCTGTGTGAAGTTCTTTTTATATATATAAATTAAGTCAACTAAGTGTCTATGGAGATTCTTAGTTTTCCAGGTCATGGTTGTCCCAAAGTGTTTTTTCAAGTGCCTTTTCATTTAGCTTCTCATCCAAGAAGCTTCTTCAGCTCTCTTCAGAGCTGAAGAAGCTTCTTTGATGAAAGTGAAAAGTCTTCAAGAAAAAAAAATGAAGTCCAGTTGTCTTTTAAAAAACATTTTTGGTCAACTAAGTCAACTAAGCTTTTTCTGTGTATGCCCCTTAACTTCCTTTAGTAAAAAAGGCCAAACGTTTCAAATCTGCCTAATCTATAATGTCATTTTATCACGGCGATTCTACCACCCTAGTCCTTGGAGGCCCAAAATCATAATTTTAAAAAGTGTTAATAAGAATTAGAATAGCTTATAATTGGTATTTCATTTCTACAATACTAGATTTCATGCCCACCAAGAACCTTTATTTTTTAACAGATGTGCCAAATATTGTTTTCCATAATAAACGTGTAACAGTGAGGGATTTGCAAGAAAACAATAATCGCCCAAACAGAAATATGTTAATCATCATAATAAAGTGATTATTAACTAGTGTCATACTTCTATTTGAATATTTGTCTTTACTAGTCTATTTTTCTTCTGTGTTCCTGTACAGGACGTACTATACCTTTTTGTTGTTTTCCGAAGTAGGACTGAGAATAGTAATTTCTGGTTTACTTGGCTTAGGCTTCGGAGACTCACAGGAGGTAATAAAATTGATAATGAATGGTTCCAAGTGCTGGCCTTTCTGAAATTAATGCCAAAAATAGTTAGAATGGACAGGTTTCCATACAAGCTATATGGGATAAATGGCGTTTATAAATAACAAGGAAACAAGGTATCTTACCTCTTTTATTAATTTCCCAGGAACAGATTTTATCATTTTACCTACATGCCAAAAGATAAATAAAAAAGAGAAATAGTTTTTCTTTTCATTATCAACATTTTTTAAAATTCTCTTGCCACTTTTCTAACTTTGCTGCCTGTTTCTCTACTTCATATCTAAATTCGTGAAACAGATTCTTCTTACATCATAATGAGAAGTTAGCCAGTGTTTAGCGCTTTAACACCACCATGTGTTCAGATACGAAGCTAAGATTCAGAGTGTTAATAGACTCCTTGGATAAACTGTGTTTGCAGAACTCAAGACAGAATTTATCGGAGGTCAATGAAAATGATCTGTTCTTGTTTTATTTCTATCTAATGATCTCATGGATCCCAAACCAAATCATAACAATGTTTGTGCAGATATTTTAAAAGTTCTTTATTCGGCTTTCATTTATAGCCTAGTACTAAAGCGAAAAATTCTTATACTCTTATGAAAGCATCACTATTGTGTCAGGCAAATGTGCCAATAAATCATACTTTTGAGTAACAGCTTGAATTGATTTAATATCCCTTATATTTGAAGTTCAATTCTGAATCCATTTTTTTAAAAAAATAACAGCACTTTTCTTACCTAAATTTACATCAGGCAGTATTTTATCAAGAAACTGTGTCTCTCCACCATTACGGGATAAGAAGTCAGCCAAAAGTTGGCTGTTGCTTAGCTCTGGATGTTGTGAAAGTTTCTGTGAGGAAAACAAAGAGGTAGACTCTAGTGACCTTCTCTTCAGCAAAGACAATTTAAACTCTAATAAGTAAATTATGCTGAGAAAAGATAGATTACTGTGAAGCAGTCTATATGGGGCTGCCCTTGAAAACCACTTGGTCCAGAATACTGCAGTGCACACAGGAATGGAGGCCCTTAGTTATCCATGTAACACCTCTGTTATGTGAGCTGCATTGTGCTGCCAGTTTCTTTCCAGGTCCAATTAAAGGTGCCGTACATTGCCTTTAAAGTCCTAAACGGCACGTAGCCAGGATATCGGCAAGGCTGCTTTTCCCTAAGGACATCCACCCATCCTATCAGGCAAGATAGGGTGGGCATCCTCCTTGTCGTTTCCCCCAAATATTGTGATCTGATGGGAGCTAGGAGTGTTCCATGGCAGCCTGTGCCTTATGGAACACTCAGCTCCTTGAAGTTCGGCAGGCTTCTACCCTCCTGGTCTTCCGAAAAGCTTTGAAGACCTGCCTTTGCCCCCAGGCATTGGGAGAACATTAGGTGATGGCACATTAGCACTGACTAGTGCCAGATTTTTGTTGTTTTTAATGTTTTATACTTTCGCCGGCTGAGTTTTATAGTTTTTAAAATGATTTTATATACTTTTTAATTTTTGATTGGGAGCTGCCCAGAGTTGGTGGAAAGGTGGGCAGCTATAGAAGTGTAATTTATAAATCAATCAATCAAGAATATCAGACAAACATAATTGTCTATTAGGAAATATAGAGAGCCTGGATAGCTCTGCAGACAAAAGCACTGTAATTTAACACCAGCTGTCTGCAATTAAAGTAAGTTCGAATCTCGCCAAGGCTCAAGGTTGACTCAGCCTTCCATCCTTTCTAAGGTAGGTAAATTGAGGACCCAGTTGTGGGGGCAATAAGCTGACTTTGTATAAAATATTCAAAAGTATGAAGGCTATTGCTTAACGCACTGTAAGCCACCATGCATATTCTTTCTAGCCAGGTTTTACCTACGTAAGCTAAAAAGGCCCAGAAACTTGTGAATGAGATTTCACAGAACCAGGGCTGTAGAACAACTTAGCTTATGTAGGTAAAACCTGGCTAGAAAGAATATGCATGGTGGCTTACAGTGCGTTAAGCAATAGCCTTCATATATATATAAAATATGTCTTCTTAAGTTCTTTTTGCATATATATATACACACATATATAATTCCATGGATTTATTAACACAAAAACGTATTTTATCCTACCTGAAGGTATTCTTGAAATTCTTCTCTCTTTGATTTTAAGAATTCGTAATTCTTTGGTCCAATAATCCTCTTGGAGGGAAGCTGAGCATCAGGGAATGCACCTGGTCATACAATAAAATTTAAACATGTTGAAAGTTCATTTTCACTTATACAAGCTAAAGAATGTTACTGATACACAACAATATCCCCAGAAATAGGTGGTAGAGAAAGCATACCATGAAATTCTGTTAGCTTTGATTCAAGCACATAAAATTCAAGATATCTTCTATAGACCGACCAGTGCTCAGGTTTATGCCCAACTGAAAATAAAGAGACAAAATTATCATTTTTTATTTGTCCAGAATATAGATAATCCCCAGGTTACGAGCGTTCTCTTAGTGAATGTTCAAATAAGCACCCCCTAGTTTACGAACAAATCCCAAACTTATGAATATTGCAGCACCATGGCAGTTGTTCGCTCTTACAAATGACTGTTACAGAGGTTCTGCAATGTTCGCCCCACCAATTCCCCCTCCCCCCACCCCAATCGGGTCTTCACAGGCACTCTGCCCATGGAGACTCACTTACTTTGCAAAGATCTCCTCTCTGTCGTACTTTCATTGCTTGCTTCAGGCTTTCAGTACATTTGCAGAGAACAGAACGTACCAAGAGGTCATGCAAGATCAGTAATGTGAGATCTCATGCTACTGATCTTGTGTGATCTTGCACTTTATGCCTCTATTCTCTTTAGGCCTCAATTCGTGGATGTTTGCAAATGGAGGGAAGGCTTCGGTCCTTTAGGCCTTGGCAGCCCTTTGTAAAAACCGTTTGTTGGCACCAGCGGAGTTTGGGAGGAGCAGGTGTGTCCCTCTGAAGCTCTGTTCCTACTGGCAAAGGCTTTTTGAAAAGGGCTGACAAAGCCTAAAGGGATGCAATCCTCAAGCACTTTGCCAACGAGAAAGGAGGCCCAGAAGCCCATACACATTTATTAGGGAAAGTCTTTGTCCGAGGGAGACCACTGTTCCTCAGATAGCCGGATGTGAGTCCCTTTGTGTGAAGTGGGGCCGTGGGGTGCAGATGGGTTTGCTGACTACGTACCTGGCTCCCTGCCACGTGGCAGCGACCCTGCCCGAGCTACTCGATGTCATTGCCGGGGTGGCGGTTGATACCCCCAGACTTATTGTCATGGGGGATTTCAACCTTCCATCCGCGGGTGAGGCGTCAGAGGTGGCTCGGGAGTTCATGGCTTCCATGACGGCCATGGACCTGACCCAGTTAGTTCAAGGCCCCACTCACATAGGGGGACACACTCTGGACTTGATTTTTGTCTCTGGCCAGTGGTTGAATGATCTTGGTAGAGGGGACCTAGATATCAAACCCTTGTCATGGACAGATCATTCGCTCCTCCAATTAGACTTTCCTACCGCCTTCCCCCGCTGCAGGGAGACGGAACCGACCAGATGGTTCCGTCCCAGGCGCCTGATGGACCCCGAAAGGTTCCTGACGGAGCTTGGGCCGTTTCCTGAGACTCTTAACACACGACTCGACTGAAGAGCTGGTGGCCGCCTGGGAAAGGGCAGCCGCTGGAGCTTTGGACCGCGTCGTGCCTTTGCGGCCTCTGACCCGATGCCGATCTCAATTGGCTCCTTGGTTCTCTGAGGAGCTGAGAGAGATGAAGCGTCGGAAAAGACGCCTAGAGAGCATTTGGAGGACTAGTTAATCCGATTCCGACCGGACACAGGTGAGGTCTTATATCAAGACCTACCTAGTGGCGATAAAAGTGGCAAAATCTAACCATTTTTCCGCTCTTATCGCATCTGCAGAGAACCGCCCAGCCGCCCTGTTTAGGGTGACCCACTCCCTTCTTCGGGGGGCAGTGTGGGAAGATCCCTTGCAGGGTCGTGCTGAGGATTTTGTGCAATTCCTGCACGATAAAGTCGCTCGGATTCGGGATGGCTTGGACTCCGATTGGATGAGTCCATGGGAGGAGACGAGGGCAGGTCTTGAGAATGTTATCTGGGAGGAGTTTGATCCTGTGACTCCCGAGGATGTGGACAGGGTTCTGGGTAAGATTAGTGCCGCCACGTGTTTATTGGACCTGTGTCCCTCCTGGTTGATACTGGCCTCCCGGGAGGTTACACGAGGCTGGCTCCAGGGGAATATAAGTGTGAGTGAGGGTGCCTTTCCCGCTGCCTTGAAAGAGGCGGTAGTAAGGCCCCTCCTCAAGAAGCCTTCCCTGGACCCGGCTGAATTAGCCAACTATCGTCCAGTCTCCAACCTTCGTTTTGTGGCGAAGGTTGTTGAGAGCGTGGTGGCACGACAGCTTCCCCAGTACCTGGATGAAGCTATCTATCTAGACCGTACCAGTCGGGCTTCAGGGAGGGATACAGCACAGAAACGGCATTGGTCGCGTTGGTGGATGATCTCTGGAGGGCTCGGGACAGGGGTTGCTCCTCTGTCCTAGTCCTATTAGATCTCTCAGCGGCTTTTGATACCATCAACCATGGTATCATGCTGCAGTGGTTGAGGGGGTTAGGAATAGGGGGCACCGTTCTGTGGTGGTTCTCCTCCTTCCTCTCTGACCGCTCGCAGTTTGTGTTGGCAGGGGGACAGAGATCGACCTCGAGGCGTCTCGCATGGGGAGTGCCGCAAGGGTCGGTCCTCTCACCCCTCCTGTTCAACATTTATGTGAAGCCTCTGGGTGAGATCATCCGTGGTTTTGGGGTGAAGTGTCATCTGTACGCTGATGATACTCAGCTGTACATCTCCACCCCAGACCACCCCAACGATGCCCTTGATGTGATGTCTTGCTGCCTGGAGGCCGTGAGGGTCTGGATGGGGAGGAACAGGCTCAGACTCAACCCCTCCCAAGACCGAGTGGCGGTGTCTTCCGGCGCCCCGATATAGTCAGCAGGTGCCATTGCTGACTATTGGGGGTGAATCTTCGCCCCCCACAGAGAGGGCTCGCAATCTGGGTGTCCTCCTGGATGCACGGCTGTCTTTAGAAGAGCATATGACGGCCGTGGCCAGGGGGGCCTTTTATCAGGTTCACCTGATTCGCCAGTTGCAGCCCTTTCTGGACCGGGACGCCTTGCGCACGGTCACTCAAGCCCTTGTTACCTCCCGGTTGGACTATTGTAATGCTCTCTACATGGGGCTCCCCTTGAAGAGCATTCGGAGGCTCCAACTGGTCCAGAATGTGGCCGCGCAGGTGGTTATGGGCGCAACTCGTTGTGCCGTGACAGCCCTCCTGCGCAAGCTGCACTGGCTCCCAGTGGTCTTCCGGGTGCGATTCAAGGTGTTGGTTACCACCTTTAAAGCGCTCCATGGCATAGGACCCGGGTACCTTCGAGACCGTCTTCTGCCACCAATAGCCTCCCACCGGCCAGTCCGCTCCCACAGAGAGGGTCTCCTCAGGGTGCCATCGGCCAAGTTATGTCGGCTGGCGACACCCAGGGGGAGGGCCTTCTCTGTGGGAGCTCCAGCCCTGTGGAATGAACTGCCCCCGGAAATACGTAAGATCTCCGACCTCCGGGTGTTTCGCTGCGCACTGAAGACCCTGTTGTTCCGCCAGGCCGGGCTATCAACATAATAATTTTAAATTGGGGTATTTAAAATTTCTGGGGTTTTAAATTGAGCCAAATCTATTTAATTATTTTAAATTTTAATCGTTGTTTTGTCTTGTGTTTTTAAATAGGCTGTACACCGCCCTGAGTCCTTCGGGAGAAGGGCGATATAGAAATAAAATAATAATAATAATAATAATAATAATAATAATAATAATAATAATAATAATTATTATTATTATTACACGGCCCTCGAGGCCTCCTTTTCATTGCCGGAGGCCTCGTTAAGGCCTTTGCTGATGAGAAAGGAGGAAGAGGCAAAGGAACAGGCTGGAGAGGAGACAGATCTTCATAAGGTAAGTCACCCGGCGTGGCAGGATGGAAGGGAGGGGAAGCAATTGTGGGGACCCCAGGGGAGGGAGAATGAGGTATCTGTGGGTCAGGGGAGGCCTTGGGTGGTCTGAAGTAGGTGGCCTGTTCCATCACTAGGCCCACCCATGGACTTCCCCACCCCGAGATACCTCATGTGCATTATACAAGCCATGCATTCAATTATCAAATGCATGAGCAAAAGCAGAGGGTGATCTCATTCAAAGTACGAGATTCACTCCCATGAATTCTCGGGTTACAAATGGAATGGGCAGGCTCGATTACATTCGTAACTCGAGAACTACCTGTAAAAGAATTTTACATGGAAACGTACATCTAACAGAACTAAAAGCAAGTCTTCAACCATATTTTAAACCTCACACTTTTCAAATTTATTAAAAGCTTTTATTAGCAATCATAATTGTCAATATTAAGGTAAACACTTTTATCAAGTTTCCCTCTGGGGATTTCAGAATTCATCCATGTAGTTAAACTAGAAAGCAATATGGAAATGGTTTGCCCCTGCCTTTTTCTGAGGTGTCCCCCCCCACAACTTCCCAGTCTAGTCAATAACTCGGATTTCCTGGTAGTCTGTCAACCAAGAACTAACAAGTCTTATTTACTTTTTTGGGATCAAACTGTTCTGTCTCTGTGTTAGCATCTGATATGACATTTTAAAAGAAAATGTACTCTCCTAAGACTGCAGGAAACAAAACTGACTGCATTTTATCTGCAGATGTCTTTCTCTCGTCACAGATGATGAGAAAACAAGTTCTGAAACCACTCTTGTTAGGAAAAGGTACTGTAGAGGGAAATATATGAAGGTGTACACCAGAGAAGTTGTTCTGCTCTATGCCGGAGGACTTGGGAAATGTCCTTAGCAAGGACAAATGGATCACAAAAAATGGGGCCTAACAAGGGATCTGTTATCCCTCCATTAAGCTTCACTCTGAGGTGTTCACAAAAGAAACTCAATCTACCATGGATGCTACATTTTTACCATCATTCTCCATGTGGCAAAACATCCGTTCAGATGTTTTTGTTCTTCCCTTTTTCAGGGCTCAATGATTTTGGAAATGTTATCTGAGACAAGATGAGTGTCAAACGGAGTATAAATGTGAAGAACATTGGAAGACATTGTGCATACATCCGATAGTGCTTACGTGCCAGTCTGTCGTTCCTTTCCACATCAATGCAAAATACAGGAATTCTCTCTCTCCTTTCTCTCTTTTCAAGTGATGGGTCTTCAAAGAAGTCAACATAAGGAATGGTAATTTTCCAAGCAGCCAGATTGCGAGGTGTATTAGGCATACTAAGTGCCTCCACAGGTGAATCATCTTCCATTACCATAATGCCTTCTTCAATCTACAGTAAAAATTTACCACATCAAAGTCCATTTCAGACTATTATGTGACTGCATTTATTGTACCATGTGCATAGTAGAGATCATGTTCTCTAAGTGTTAAATATTACAAACTATTTGAATGAAATGGAACGAAAACTGTACAGCAAAAAATAAGATTGCACTTGTTAAATTAATGTAAAATTATCTTTTGCAAAAAAATACCACTGATTTGGGGTATGTTTTCCCCACTAACCATAATATGATGGGACCTTAATTTGATGAAAATCAAAATATAAACTCTATCATTAGCTTGCTTTAAGTTAAAAGCAAAATAGGTTATGATTAACATTGTACTAAATTGATTCAATGATTCTACCACAGAGGATACACACAATTTTTCAACAGTGACAACAGAATTTGAAAGTAAGCAACATAAACCCAAATATTTTTTTTTTTTTTTAATTTGATTTATATGCCGCCCTTCTCCGGAGACTCAGGGCGGCTTACAATGTGCTAAGCAATAGCCTTCATCCTTTTGTATATTTATACAAAGTCAGCTTATTGCCCCCACAACTGGGTCCTCAATTTATCTACCTTAGAAAGGATGGAAGGCTGAGTCAACCTTGAGCCTGGCGAGATTCGAACCTGCAGTAATTGCAGGTAGCTGGTCTTAATAACAGGGTGCTTTAAACCACTGTACTACCAAGGCTACCAAGATGTTTGATTATGAGGAATTTCTCCAATACTGCCATGCACTTACATTTTCCAGCTGTACAGGTAGTCCTCGTTTAGCAATCACTACTGAACCAACACCTCTGTTATTAAGCAAAACAGTCACTAAGTGGAATTATGACTGTGCTTTCTTTTGCCCTGTTCCTTTGCCCTTTAGAATGCTTTCCCCAAAGTTGGGGTAGCACCTTAAAACAGACCAGACTAAATCAGTTTCACACTTTTGGCTTTTGTTTCCCTCCTAACTACTCCTCTGCTCTTGGAATGCTTACTCCACTGGAATAATTAGCAGGAAGGGCATTACTGTTTTCATTTACATTCATTGGAGAGGAAGTGACTGCAAGAGAATAACCAGGCACACAATCAAAAGCAACTGGCTGCCAGTGCCAGTTCAAACAATCCATTCCTCATCCACTCTACAAGAGGCGGGGAAAAAATAAACAGGTGAGCCCAAGGACAATGTGTACTAACATGTAAGAATGTGACTGAGGGAGACTCTGAAGATCATAAACTTGGACATTGATTATAAAGTTATTTTTTTAGCACCTTCGCACTTTGAATAGTTGCTGAATGAGGCAGTCACTAAACAAAGACTATCTGTACCCAAGTGTTTCTTAAAGTGTAAGCAAAAAGGTCAGCAAAAGAGAGAATTAAATAGGAAATTAATAAGAATTGACCTGAAAAATTACTGCACCAGGCCGTCAAATCATATTTATTTTGTGCAATGGAGGCTGAATTGTATGCCTATCTGCATGTGTGTTTTATAAACCAAACTAAACTAATTACATAGTTTAAAAGAGTACTTAGTAGACATAATCTGAATCACCTTCATTTATAGTTTTATTTTATGAAAGAGGAAATATATACCGTATTTTTCGGACTATAAGACGCTCTGGATTATAAAATGTACCTAGCTTTTGGGGAGGAAAATAAGAAAAAAATATCTGCTTCTACCTCCCAGCAATTTATCTCCTTGCAGCAAACAGCAAACAGCCTGGTCAGCTTCAGCACAGCCTGATTTAGCATGAGCAGCTGATTGGCGGCCGTAATACCGACGATCAGCTGTTCCAGGCTGTGGGGATCACCACTGCCTATCGCCGCCTCCATGCGCCCCATTTTTGGCCCATTCCAGGCGGTGGGAATCAGCACCAATGCCTATTGTTGCTGTCTGGAACAGGCCAAAAATGAGGCGCGTGGAGGTGGCGATAGGCAGCAGCGATGACAATGTGCGGCGGTGATCCCCGCAGCCTGGAACAGCTGATTGGCAGTATTCCGTAAGGCCGATCCAACTGCCAATCAGCTGCTCGTGATAAATCAGGCTGTGCTGAAGCTGACCAGGCTGTTTGCTGCAAGGAGGCAAATTGCTGGGAGGCAGAGGCTGAAGGGTAGGGGTTGGCAGGTGGGCAGGGCTTCGGCAACATTTGCTCTATAAGACATTTCCACCCACTTTGGGGGGTGGGGGTTGCATCTTGTAGACCGAAAAATAAGATAAATATTCACAGATTCCTTTGCTAGCTACCAGGATACTTGTACATGCAATATGTGATATCTGTAGAAAATTTCACTTAATATGACACAGATATTGCTCTCATATGATTAGCTAATTTTATTGGGAAATCCTGAAATGATGAATTAAGAGTTCCACATTTAATTATGTATGAAAAGCCATATGCAAGTCCCATCTCTTTGTAGGTGTGTGTGATATAATCCACGCACAAAGGGATTGGGCTTTCAACATGCTGCTGTGACATCCTTGTCCCCTTCACCTCTGCCTCCCCCTCTTTTGTCCCCCTCTCTTCCCCACAGACACTGGCATCTCCAATTATGTGAATTTTAACTCCTGAAATTTCCCAGCTAGCTGACTGATAATGAAAATTCTAGGAACTGAAGTCCACACAAATGAAAGGTATCTGAGATGAGGAGGATTAATTCAGAAAAGTGTCGTATGATCCCAAATACAGGTGGTCCACAACTTACATTTAGTGACTGTTCAAAGTTACAATGGCATTGAAAAAGGCGATTTATGACTATTTTTCACACTAATGACCATTGCAGCATCCCCATGGTCACATGATCAGAATTCAGACGTTTGGCCACTACCCATATTTATGACGTTTGCTATGTCCCAGGGTCATGTGATCACCTTTTGTGACATTCTGAGAAGCCAAGTCAATAGGGAAGCCAGATTCACTTAACAACTGTGGTGATACACTTAACAACTGCGGCAAGAAAGACCGTAAAATGGGTCAATATCCACTTAACAACTGTCTCACCTAACAACAGAAATTTTGGGCTCAATTGTGGCTATAACTCAAGGACTACCTGTATAAATAAAAGTGCTTCATTACTGGAAATTCATGTTCGTGGTGTAAGTTATATGACAGTCAACAAACATAAGGCAAAGTGAAAAGGGACTTGGAACGGATGAGAAGAACAATGCAGAAAGGCTTGGCAGATATGCAATAAAATACACACAATCTATGTTGAACTCGAATTGTTAGCTCAACTCACAAAATCATCCTCTCCTTCAGCAAGGAGATAGTCGGGCAACATAGCCCCTTCCATTGTAGTGCTCTTGAATACTCCTTTGATTTTGCTGCTTATACTTCTGATTCCAGACGATTCACCTCTTCTATGCATGCTTCTGCATAAAACAAACAGCAAATGGCACATCCATAACAATTTCAAAATAAGAAAATACTTCAAGGGATATATGTAGGTAGTCTTATTCGGCAAAGCGTATATAATTTAAGAGCTTACAGTAACACATTACTTTATATCCATTGTTCCAATCAAGCAAAAGGAAACTGTGAGGGGGAAAAAATGGTTTTATTTCTGTGCAGCTGGGATGGAATGTAATCTGGATTCTCAGGTGGGAGAAACTGCATTCCAGAGTGCAAAGCAATAGCAAAACTTAGAACGTTTAGTCAGAAAGAAGTGGGTAAAAATGGCTCCTCCCTAGCAACTCTCAGAGCATATCTACAGCTATGCAAATAGTTTCTTTAGTTTGGTAAGACTCAATCAATCGATCGATCGATCGATCAATCAATCAAGTAGAGCTAGAAGGGACCTTGGAGGTTGACTGTTCAAGCATGAGACGCTATACCTGTTGTGGCTTGCTGGCGGCCAGCGGAGCTGGCAGCAGAGTTGGACAGTGAGGAGGTTGGGGAGGAACTTAGGCCAGTCCTGGGGGCTGAGGAAAGTTCGGACGAGGGCTCTGCATCAGAGGCAGAGAGGGGACCAAGGCCATCTGATAGTTATGTGCTGCCTCTGGAGTCTCCGGAGTCTGACATCAGCGAGGCAGAAGAACAGCGGGAGCCTGTTCCCAGTGTGCGCATGCACAGAGCTGCCAGAAGACAAGAACAATTAAGAAAACAGGATCGACTTGGCAGTAAGGCTTGGAGATGATTGGCCCCTCCCATAAGATATAAAAGAGGAGCGAACGGGACGTGAGCTTTTGCAGGAAGCAATTAGTTCATCTGGTCGTTTCAAGCTTTGAAAAGTTCTGTTTGACTCTGTGCCAAGTTTGGCCTTGCCCTGCGTTTGGCAATTAGTTCTCTGGCAGCATTCCAAGGGAGATAAGGTGGGTGTTTATAAACATTCCCCTAAAATTTATTCATTTTATTTATTTATTAAATTTATATCCCGCCCTTCTCCCCGAAGGGACTCAGGGCGGTGAACAGCCGAGAATTAAAATAACATGCAATATAAAAGTTAAAATAATTAAAAATAAATTAAATTAAATGGCCGCCCCAATTTAAAACCCCTAGCAATACAATTAAAAACCCCTAAAATCTATTCCGGCCAGGCCGGCTTGCTGAAATAAAAACATCTTCAGGGCCTTACGGAAAGTGCGGAGATCCGGAATCAGCCGTATTCCAGGAGGTAGCTCGTTCCAGAGGGCGGGTGCTCCCACAGAGAAGGCCCTCCCCCTGGGGGCCACCAGCCGACATTGCTTGACTGATGGCACCCTGAGGAGGCCTCTCTGTGAGAGCGTATTGGCCGGTGGGAGGTTATCAGTAGCAGCAGGCGGTCTCATAAATACCCTGGCCCTAAGCCATGGAGCGCTTTAAAGGTGAGAACCAACACCTTGAAGCGCACCCGGAAGACCACCGGGAGCCAGTGCAGCTCGCGCAGGAGAGGTGTTATATGGGAGCGCCATGTAGAGAGCGTTAGCGTAAAAGACTGTTTGTGAAGCTTTGCAGACTGTGAATGACAATAATTCACAGCCGTGTAAATAAAAGAGGTTTTGCCGGGAGTAAGATTGTGCTTTATACTTTCTAAGGAAGCCTAGGTCAGAACAATATCATTTCAGACAGGTGGCTCTCCAGTCTTTTCTTAAAAACCTCCAGTGATAAAGCACCTACAACTGAAGGCAACCTGTTCCACTGGTTAATTGTCCTCACTTTTAGGAAGTTTCTCCTTAATTCCAGGTTGCTTCTCTGCTTCTCCTAGTTTCCATCCATTGTTTCTTGTCTTGCCCTCTGGTGCTTTGGAAAATAAGTTGACCCCCTCTTCTTTAGGGCAGCCCCTGAAATACTGGAATACTACTATCATGTCACCCCTAGTTCTTCTTTTCTCTAGACTGGCCATACCCAATTCCTGCAACCACTCTTCATGTTTTTGTCTTCAAATCACCTTAGCTGCTTTTGTAATGTGGTGACCAAAACTGAATGCAGAATTCCAGGTGTAGTCTTACTAAGGATTTAAAAACTCTGTCCATAGGTGAAGAACATAAAGGAAACTACTCAGAAATAACTCCACGTGTCTTTCTTGGTTCTTGGGAGGCTTGAGAGGAACCAACCATATAAAAAAAGAAGAAGCAAGACAACAAAACTGCAATTTTTTAATGACAGCATTTTCTTTCATTGGTAAAACCAAGGAGATAATTAGTAATCACTGTGTCACAGCTATGCTTCACATTGGAACAACCATAAATGCAATTTGCTCAGGATGTTTCTCCAAGCTGCTCACTGGTAGGACAGAAATTTGTCCTACTTCCGGGAACTGCTGGAGAGCAATATGAAGCAAACCATCCCTGAAGTTTTAATTTGTTTTTGGAAAAGTGTGTTGTTTCATGAAGTAATGTTGAACTAGCGTTCCATATAAAAGTTTGCTAAACATAGGCTATAGTGCTATGCCATATAGTAATTCCCATTTATTTTTTAATGAAAATAATTAAAAAAATTGTTTAATAGGAGAGGAGCTAGTAGGCATCAAAAGCCATGTTTAACAAGCACATTGTTGTCGTTGGGCGCTACACTGGCTAACAAACAAATAGGATGACTGCTGCCTCTTGTTAATATGGACACATTGTCACAATAGGGCCTTATCGTCATTGACAATTATGGAAGAAAGATAGTCCTCAGGTTATGTTCAGTCATTTAGCGACTGTTCAAAGTTACAATGGTGCTAAAAAAAAAATGTACTAATGACTACCCTGGCCTCTGTGATCACATCATCAAAATGTGGGTGCCTGCAGACAGACCCGCATATACAACTGCCTCCACTCCACCCCCAGCTGACCTTTGTCTTTTGCCTGCCTCCCCTTCACTGGACTCACTGGTCCCCTTCCCCTCCAGCTGACTTGCCATGCAGGAATTTGGTCAGGTAGCTACCCCCAGGGATACGACTGATCCCAGACCTCCGAACCTTTTGCCGGGCTCTGAAAACGTTTTTATTTTGGCAAGCCGGGCTGGCTTAGAATTTTTATTGGTGAATTTTATGGGTAAGGGGTTTTAAATTGGGGAAAGCCATTGGATTTAATTTTGTTTTAAATGTATTTTAATGTTTGTATTGGATGTTTCTTAATCTTGGCTGTTCACCGCCCCGAGTCCTTCGGGAGAGGGGGCGGTATAAAATTTTAAAAAATAAATAAATAAATAAGAATCACTACCAGGCATCCTAGCTAAGCATGAGGGAGGCACCAGGGAAACATCCCCATCATGCTGCCCAGCAGGAGGATTGCTCCACTGGCAGTAGCGCACAATACAGAGGACTCATGGCCCTGGTCCCTTCTTGGTGGGGCAGAATGGACACTCCCCACTTGCAGTTCTCATCTACCAGCCTGTTTGCCTGGGACACCTGCCTCTTCCCACTTAATGCCCTGTGTGATCCTGGGATTATGATGGCACCTGGGATTGCCATCTCTAGTTGATTCAGTTACATGGAACCCCACTTTACGACTGCTTTACTGTGATTTCCATTAAGTAGCAATGGAAATTCTGGTCTCAAATGCTGTCACAACCAGAAGGCCACCTGTACTTAAAAGAATGACATACTGAATTACAGCCAAAGATAAACAGAATAAAATAGAGATAGGAGGGACCTTGGAGGTCTTCTAGTCCAGCCCCCTGCTCAAGCAGGAGAACCTATACTGTTTCAGATAAGTGGCTGTCTAGTCTCTTCTTAAAAACCTTCAGTGATGGAGTGTCCACGATTTCTGAAGGCAAACTGTTCCCCTAGTTAACTGTCCTCACTGTTAGGAAGTTTCTCCTTAATTCCAGGTTGCTTCTCTCTTTGATTAGTTTCCAAACATTGTTTCTTGTCCTACCCTCTGGTGCTTTGTGGCAGCCCCTCAAATACTGAAATACTGCAATCATGTCACCCCTAATTCTTCTTTTCTTTAGACTAGCCAGACCCAAAACCTGTAGCTGTTCTTCATATGGTTTAGTCTCCAGGCCTTTGATCATCTTAGTTGCTCTTTTATTTAATTTTATTTATTTTAATTTATTTATTTTATTTAATTAATTTTAATTAATGAGACATAATAATGAACACATCCAACAGATACCTTCTTTAAAACTTTTAACCCAGGCAGGTATATTAAATAAGTAGTCCTCGCCTTATGACCATTTATTTATGACCATTTGGAGTTATGACAGCCTCAGAATGGGTACTTTATGGCACAATAAAGCACTTCTGACTATTGTAAAAAGTTGCCAACTCCTGTGGTCACATGACCACATTTTGGGCCTTGGCAACTGGCTCACCTTTATGACAGTTGAAGAGTCCCGTAATCATGTGACCATTATTTGTGACATATTTTGCCAGTTTCCAGCAAAAAAAGTCCATTCAGAAGAATGGGTTTGCTTAATGACTGTGTTGGTTTGCTTAATTTCCACTGCAAGAAATGTCAAAAAAATTGGGTCCAGTTACATGGGTCCTCAACTTACATAAGATTTCCAGTCCCAATTGTGGCCATAAGTTGAGGACCTACCTTAACGCTGTACTTACTTGTTTGACTTGGAATTGCGTGTTGGGGATTCAACTTCTTGAAAGAGGTGCTTGAAATACTAAATAAGGAAAAATAGTTGAAAATTGCCGATCACTCTTATTTTATTTTATTCTATTTGCTACATTTTCTTCAGAAACGATTTTACAAAGATACAGATTAGAAATAAAAATCACTATAGTTCATATGTGTAACAGCATGGAAAGCAGGACAATACTGAAATCTATGAAGGACCTAAACAGTAGGTACTGGTAGCAATAACTAAAATGTTTGAACATATTTTCTGATATAGTTCTATAATTCTTAAAAATGTATAGTATGTACAGTATTTGTGACAGTAAAAAAAAAAAGAGATGAAATAAATATTTGCCTGATATCAAGAAGACACTAGTGTCTATCCTGATGAACCTCTCTAAAATTAAGAAATTGTACTTTCACAAGCCTATGTATTAGAGAAGAGACACTTCTCTTAAATCTATACAGACATTAAAAGAGAAAACCAGTGCTCTGAATGGACCAAGAATTATTATAACTAGCAATAGTGGCACAACATGATCATAATACTCAATTCGTGTCAGTATTCTGCATTATTATCTCTCCATCATTTTTAAGGAAACTCCACAATAATGTACTGCAATAATTTAAGCAGATCTTAGAACTAAAGCAGAGGGGTTAAGTCATTCCATAATTCCAGAATACATTAAGACATTAGAGCTAATATAGAGGGGTTATTTCATTCTAGAAATGTAACAAGTAGACTCCTTGAGCTCGAAAACTTCAAAAAGTAAAACTGAAAAACAGTTAAAATTACAAACTGAGGTGGCTCAAATATAAACAAACACTTGTTACCTCATACGTGTGGCAGAATCTAGGTATGAAGACATTTTCTAAGAGTGAGAAAACTTGTTCATAGGCTTCAAAGAAACACCGCATTTGTTGTAGCTTCACAACTTCCTCATAGGGGCCTTCAGCAACTACAGACGAAAATGTGAGTGTCAATAAAAAATATGAAAATACTTACCTATAGAAAAGTTTAACATTTCAGGATTATGATATCTGTCTCAGCAGCATTTGTCTGATTTTATTTGAGTTTAGAAATTAAGCAAAATGGGGCCTAGAACTTGAATGAGTCCATGTGTCTGGTGTGCTATGTTATTTGTTATTTTATATTTTTACAACTATAAAAGTTATCCAGAGACACCATTTGTAAGTTGGGTAACCTAATAAATAAATAAATACTTGAGTGGGAGATTTTTAAAGAATCCCAAATCTATAGTTTAGACTAGGAAACCGAAAGGACATCTCAAAAGAAACCATTGCAAATGACTTCTGTATTGCTGTCAAAAAGTTAAGTGTACATTTCCATGAAGTCATCAGAGGTCAATCTTGATTTTTACTAAGGCACGACATCTGTTTGTTTTTCATTTCATGGGAAAGTGTTCTGGGGCTGATCAAGATACAAAGATACAGCAATTTTTTAAAATAAATAGGCAATGCTAGAATTTTGTTGTTATATGCTCACTGAGTAGATCAGCCTTTCCCAATATATCCTCGGTAGGTAATGGTACCACTATGCCCCAAATTCTCAATATTGCTAAAACATGTTCATGCCAACATCTGTATTATTCTACATCAAGTACCATTCAGAAATAAAACACAACTTCAAATACATTTTTCTTTTGATTTCACTTACTACTTTGTATCTCTTCCACAATGAAAGGATCAAATTTAATTTTGTCAACGCTTTCATCTAAGCAATATGTTTCATAGATTTTCTTGACTTCTTCATGGAGGGACATTTTCTCAGAATCTGACAATTCTGCCTGCAAAATTCTATTATTAAATTGCTCTGTTGATTGGGATAAAAAAAAAATAAAAAAATGTATTGAGTTCAGAATATTGACAGTTTTCCTTTGTTAAAAATGTTCTTTATATATTCTGAGAGTTTTACCTACTAAATCCATAAGCATTGGATTATGATAATAACACAAATCCCAGCAATTAAAACAAATCTGCTTTGGGATCTCTGCCATATATTCATCCCTGTAAAATTTAGAAGAGGAGGCATCGCTGATGACTTTAATTTCTATCTTTGGCCAAACATAAAGTTAAAAGTTTAATCAAAGTTAAAATGTTGTTTCTCATAGTACTTTTTCCTAAACCTCTTCTGGCTATTAGCTAAGCCAGAAAAAAAAATCAAGACGTAAAATACAAAACTGCTATAATTTATTGACATGTAATCAGACATTTAAAAATAGACAAAGAGCCAAAATGTTTAAAATGCAAATAGATTAATCCTTTGCTTTAAAATATTCTCAATAATTATTCCATCAACTGCAATTTCAATAGTAACACTGTTGAACAAGCACCAATAAGTAATCTGTGCATTTGCTAGAAATTACTTGGCATTATCTCTCCTACTAAGAACCAGAGAAAAATTCATTTGCGAGGAAAGGAACATGAATCTAAATTCAGGATTGAATTTAGCCAGTATGAAGATTCTGTGGCTCCCTGAGACAACATGAAATTCCATTCAACTTCATGTAAATGAATCTAGACCTTCCCAAAGTTTTATGAGGTTCTTCAGAAAACTATGGAAATGCATATCATCCACAGGACACAGGCCACGTTAAGGGACACTTTGTTACCACTTCTTTTCCCACTTGAGATACAACTGAAGATTCTTTTAATCTGCTACAACTGCAACATCACAGAGTAGAAGTAAAAAAAAAACCCTAGATTTTATATTAGCCAAGTCAGAGATTGATTTAAGGCAATTCACAAGGCAAAAAAGTCAAGTGAAACCAAATTGTTTATGAGTGGTTAGAGAGAAGACAACTCTGAAAATGTTAATTCTCCCTTTATAACCTCCCAGGTTATAAAGATGCTTTTGAAGGAGAACCTGCCCAAATTATTTATCTAATACTTTACAAGGGAGGGAAAGCTTCATATTTTTGGTAGGCCAGGAGATAATTATTTCACAAATGGCAGGATACAGATTTAAGCCCCCTTTTATAGGAGCTTCCAAACTGCATCCATCAGCTACTACAATATAAACAGAATGCCACATGGAAAGAGGGGCTTTCCATTTTAGCTCACTTAAAAACAAATCCAAATACCTTATTTTAAGAAATCTGATTTTGATACATAATCTTGGAAACTTCAGCAAAAAAACAAACTGTATTAGTCCAAACTTATACTTGCAAAGTAAATAAGTATCACTTTAAAAATTATCGGTAGCTTTTCCCCTTCTTTTCCGTCTTTTAAGATTTTATGTATTAGATAATAAACTTTAGTGTGGAAGCCACTTTATCCCCTCTGTCTGCTAACACAAGCTTAAGTGCATTGCAGAAGTAACTTTTTTTTTAAAAAAATTATAATGCATTTTTATTTAATGTAATTAAAAAAATAACATATTGAGGAGGGATTTCTTACCTAACTCCAGGTAAAATTGCAAAACGTGTACTGTTCCTTCTTTCTTCAAAAAACTCATAAATAGAAAGAAAAGATCCTGCTTGCCTTCAAATTCTTTCAGTTCAAAGTGCAAGGCCTTAATAGAAGATTCAATATGGAATTTATTTCTAATTATCCATATCATCATTTTCTAATGCATATACACTTAACAAGCATTTTTTCACACTTACAGAAGGTTTTTTGTTTCTAGATTCTGCAAATTTCTGCAAGAAAGGAACCAAAGGTGAAGCAGGTTCAGTTGCTATTTCAGGCTGTAAGAAAAAAATCAGAAAAAAAAAAATCCAGCATCCAAGAACAAAACTGTATGATTTCACAATTACTATAATTCTTTTTTTCTTGTAATACTCACTGGACTATCGTCAATGAAGATAAGTATCAAGTGATTCACAGTATCCTAAAAGAAAAGACAGGCATATTTAAGAGGTAGCAAAGGCAAAAGGCACCTCATGTTGTATTTTCTTTAGAAAAAATCCTTAAAGACTCTAAGCCCCACCATTAGAAGAATTCGGCACTTCTGCCCTACTTCCAACTTGTGTGAAAGACTAATTTGGAAATCAGCCGACATCTTTGTAAAACTGGGATGTAAACCACCACTTTGGGGCCCAGAACCACATGAGATTCCACCTAACCACCTACTTCTTGTCCTACACACTCAACAAATGCAGTTAGGGTGAGGCTACCAGATTTGTAACATAAATATCCAGATTATCTCTATATGGTAGCAAAGAGAGTGCTATGTATCTTTTTGTTCCTCTGCCCAATGATGAATGGAATGTTGGTAGTACAAGCGCAGGGTTCTAGTAGAAAAGCAGTATAGGAGGAAGGGAGGAAGGAACAAGTGAGGGGGGGAAATGCCACAACTTGTATTAACTACCTCCACCTCTACTTCTGATCCTGTACTGTACACTGAAGCAGCAAGATGCTCTAGAAATAGAGCCCTCTATACACCAGCCATAGAAATTTAATAAGTGTAGGTTATCTACAGTTAGATTCACATCTAAAACTGGTGGAAACCAAGGACCTGAGAATTATTAAGAGAAAGTCTAAGAATTTAGGCAGTTCCAAGCAGGATAGTATTTTGTAAAATAGGATGTTCAGCTGTGATAAATTCAATGTTTCCAGATATCGAGGAAGTCCTTTAGATACATATAACTCCTAGAGTTCCAATCAGTTATTATTATCATATCATTAACTCAAACCCCAAAAAGTAACTTCTGCTGGGCTGGGCTTTGTCCCATGTTGTATTGATGTAATTCAATTTTCTTGCAGTTAAGGGGGAAAAAAACCAGGGAATTTATAATTTGGCACACATATAGTTACATAACAGTTCCATTCTGCAAAGCCTTCTATAACCTGACTTCCATTGAATTCTTCTACCCATTGTACTACTTTGCATGCACATGTAATACAATTTTTATAGACCTTAGATATGGTTTATAAGAACATTTGGGTAAATCCAAATGTATATAAAATGATATGAATTTATTTAACTGTCTAATATAGTCAACTTAGAAGTTTGTCTACCAAAGTCCCTAACCAAGCGTAACTGCCTCCCAACTCTTCTCTAATGTTTGCTCTTTTATGCTCAAATGGAAAAGACAAGGAGATAACATTAAGATAAAGAAAATTGATATTCCAGGGAAGCAATTCTCGATGTCACAAACCAGTTTCCTTTCCCAACACTTCCAGCTGAAGTAATGGAGTATGGGGATGCAAAATGGAAAACTGCACCGCAGATTTTAAAGATTTTTCAACAAAAACTCCCTTTTTATAACCCTGTAATCCCTTAATTTGGGGTACAGTTGGGGTGACTGTATGGATCTGAGCGTTTACTGCCCAGATGCCCTTCCTAACACCATGTGGAGTTCACAACAGATATTTTTATTTGTGCCCTGATAAGAGAAATATCTGTCACTGTCTAGGATTGAACTCTTAATCTCCCGAGTGGGAGGCGAACATCTTAACTTCCAGGCCATCAAGATTCTTTAACAAACACCTCCTAAATTGCACCTAGCTAAGATATCCGACCCTTGCAAGCTACAATTCAATTGGATATAAAATGAGACAACCCTGAGGTTAACATTTTTCATTAAAAATCTCTCATTGAACCCCTTCCTCCTTCAATGCACATTTCATAAGCCACCATACACCTGCTGTGGCCCACACAAATTACCTGGAGCTTCTCAGCACTTACCGGATCAGCTAAGTAATCCATAGAGGGAAGGAAAACAGAACCCGATAGGATTTCTCTTATGAGTAAGGTGAATGTCCTAGAGAGAATAAAAGCCAATTTTATGCAGTCATATACCTTCTTCATAAGCTTTCATGAAGTTAGCATTCAAATTAAATTGGTGTAAAGAATCATTTAATGCACTGTTAAATAAATACATACATACACAATTTATCTTACATTTTTTTCACAGAAAACTGATCTGCACACACACACACACCTTTTTCCTTTTGGTACTCTTTATATATCCACCCACTTAATCTGACTTTGGGGGCATACAAAAGAATGAGAAGAAGTTAAAACCAGTAAATTAAAAAATCCCCAACACCTGTCGCTAAAATCAAGCAGGCAATTCATAGCAAATGCATCTGAAATATACTGTAATCCTAAAAATGGAGACTTTACTCATTTAGCCTTTGGGAGCAGGTGATCCTGTAAATAATAGGGTTCTATGCCACACACAGGGCATTTATTATAACAACAGCCAACTATAACTAGGCCAAATTGAAGCCTCTGTGCACTTGATCCCTGCCGCTGGGTTGAAGGAACCAGAAAAATAGTGTTTTAATGATATCCTCCGTTAAACATCATGGCAATCTGAAGAACAATTACCCAGCCTCAACTTTTCATGTAACAATATACAATGGGAAGGAAAACAAACTGTAGACTGATATTCTCATCTCTGGATGGAACTGAACAATTTCTTGCCTGTGTGCCATTGTTTCTTCTTGACACTTGTAAACCTTGGAAGTAATTTAATGTGCTGTCCTGGCATACATAGAGAGAAGCCAGATACACTGAAAGATATAGCTTGGCACTACATATGTGGTACTAATAAAGAAAAAACAGTTCCCGATTTGTAATTTTCTTTCCTTCATTTCTCATGCTGCACATATGACTATTTGTGTCTGGGCAGGACCTCCTCAGAACGTGTTATATAGCTAAGAAAAACTTGTGGTGGGATCTCTGCCTCAAAGTAATGTACATCTAGATATCGTTGTAGTAATTTCCTGGTGTTTCTTTGACAATAAAGGCAAGGACTGAAAGGATAATAGTTGGAGTGAGGGTAGATAATGTGAATCCACATAAAATTCTCACTTTTGTTCAGGTGACTGCAAAGCCAAGAGGTCAACACTGCTTTGCAAAAAACATAATATTGAATAGCTAATCTCTACCACTTCTGAAGCTAAAAGCATTGGGGCCAAGCTGTTACTCTGTTAGTTGTTCAGCAGAACATGCTTCAGTGCAACAGACAATACAAAGTGTATTTATTTATATCCTGCCTTTTATTATTTTTACAAATAACTCAAAGCGGTGAACATATCCAATATACCTTCTTCCTCCTACTTTCCCCACAACAACCACCCTGTAAGGTGGGTTGGCCTGAAACAGAGTGACTGGCTCAAGGTCACCCAGCTGGCTTTCATGCCTAAGGTGGGACTAGAACTCATGGTCTCCTGCTTTCTAGCCTGGTGCCTTAACCACTAGACCAAACTGACTCCCAAGTTTAAAAATAGTTCAAAGAAAGTGCTCTAAATCTTTAATGAGCACCCTATGGCAACAGTCCAACTTTTTTAATGCTACCGGTTACAGAGAGAAAAAGGATGATGCTGCCACTTTTAAGGACAGCCATCTCCCCAGAAAATAAGATTTCCTTAGTTTTCTCTTGGAGATTTCTTGAAAGAGGCCAGGATAAAATTACAGAACTTTCAGCAACCAGAAAGATTTCCCCCTTTATTTATCTGCCAGCTTTTTGAGGCGGACACTCATAGTTCTCGTGCAAACTTGTGAGGAAGCAACTTCTTAATTGATAACAGAACTGTCCAGCTAGTTAGAATGTGAATCTCTCTCTCTCTCTCTGCTTCTAAACATACTATCATGGGATCCACCCATCAAAGTTAATTCAATGATTAAAGCAGTGGCACTGGGTTTTTTTTTCTTTCAGAAAAACTGGTATCTGTTCTAGACAGTATAACTGGTTCTACAACCACTTTAGAGAAGGGACAAGTAAACAAGGTATCTAGAGAGGAGAAGAAAGTGCATTTTGAGGTATTCTAGTATAGAGTATTTTTTTGTATATAAAAATATGCATATATAATGCTGTGGTAGTAGAAGTCCTGTTCATAAACTAATAGGCTAGGTCAGTGATGGCTAACCTTTTTGCCGTCGCATGCCAAAAGTGGGGGGAGCGTGGGGGTGGTGATGTCGTGTGCATGCCCACACCTGTAATTCATTGTGCCCTGCCCCCCTACGCATGCACACACGATCTCCCAACGCTCCCCCTGCTTTTGGCACGTAATGGCCCGGTGGGCCCGGTAGGCCCGATTTTCGTCCTCCCCAGGCTCCAGAGGCTTACTTGGAGCTTGGGGAGAGCAAAAATGGCCTCCCCCCCCAGGCCCTCCAGAGGCCAGAAATGGCCTGTTTGCTGACTTCTGGTGGGACCTAGAAAGGCTCTGGAGCCTGGGGACAACAAAAAACGGGCCTTCCAGTCCCACCGGAAGTTGGCAAACGGGACGTTTCCGGCCTCGGGAGGGCCTCCGGTGGGTGGGGAAGGCCTGTTTTTCGCTCTTCCCAGGCTTCTAGAAAGCCTCTGGAGCCTAGGGAGAGCGAAAAACAGGCCTTCCCCACCCCCCCGGAGGCCCTCCCAAGGCCGTAAACAGCCCGTTTCCTGACTTCCGGTGGGCTCAGAAGGCCCAAAAATCAGTGGCTGGTGCATGCATGCACACCAGAGCTGAGCTAGGGCAACGCTCGCATGCCCACCGATATGGCTCCACGTGCCACCTGTGGCATGCAGGCCATAGGTTTGCCATCACAGGGCTAAGTGATCCTCAAACTGGACGGTGGCATAATTGCAGAGTTAAAAATCTTTCATTCCTGGCAAGTTACATAATAGAACTTCTTCAGGATCTCTCAGAGCTTGTGGTATTAAAAAAAGATATTGCTACGGTAGTTATCCCAGAGTGGTAGTTATCCCAGAGTGGTACAGAAAACTCATGCACCCATCCATTTACTTCCATATCTGGTTTTGCAAATTCTAGGAAAGAAATATTCAAACCAATTCCAAAGGCCAGATTTTTCTAACAAACTATAAGTATTCAAAGGATCTGAGGAGCTTTGAGCCAGGTAAAATGTATTCATGTAAACCACAGGTCTGCCACCTGTTATTTTATTCAAGGTTATTTTTTTTATTAAAAAATATTGCCCTACCCCTTTTTGCAATGCGGGCCCTGAGAAGCCGTTTCAATACTGGTGTGGCCTTTTGTGAAATGGAGGTGGCATACCTGATGGTTGAAGACAATAGAAGATTTTCCTCCACTGATTGAAATTTAGCACAATCAGGCATTGACAAGACCAAATTCCTACCCTACACCAGGGGTCAGCAACCTGTGGCTCTGGAGCCACATGTGGCTCTTTCACCCCTCTGCTACGGCTCCGTCACTCAAAATATGTGTCACAACCGCCAATGTGCAACACCCATCGGCACCCGATTTATTGAGCTTTTCAAGCCCCGATAGGCCAACCATGGATAAATCCAAGAAAAGTTTTAGAAGAAAACAGAATGTTTAATTCAACTATATATGCTTGTTTTGTGGTCGCTCAAGAAATAGTCAGGCACGGGAAGGGTTTTGTGGCTCCTGGTGTTTTCTTTTCTGTAGGAAACGGGTCCAAATGGTTCTTTGAGTGTTTAAGGTTGCAGACCCCTGCCCTACACTGATGGCTTTTCATGAACACTGAAAGAATCAACTATTCCAAGTTCATTTAACTGTTACAAGTTAAGACTGGTAGAGTAATCTGCCCATACCAAGAGTTTCTGACATGTTAGCTTTTCTATTTTACAAAAATAGGAAATTTAAACACACTGAATGTTAGAGCTTCATAATATAATGTAGTATAATATACCCGCAATCTGTTGCCTTTGGAAGCAGAATATAGGAAAAAAGAAGTTCAGTAAGTTTTCTTAAATAATTGAGTTCGTCTCTTCTACTTCTCAAAGCCACATGGAGTGATGGTCCATATTCTTCTAAAGCTGCTTGCTGTAAATATTCTGTATTTTTTACTGTAGGAAAAATTAAATTCAGTAAAGTTCATATGAAAATTCATTTCTGACAATACTTAAAAGAATAAAAATAAAAGCAAATATAAGAGCAGAAAGGTCAATTTATTTCTAAATAAAAGGCATGCAATGTTTAGTATTACCTTTTTGTCTAGCTTTAGCTATTACTTCTATATGCTTCATTGCTGCCTTTAGCATTTTTTTTGTTACAACAGTTGGAATATTCACCTAAAGAACAAACAGAAAGAGAAATTATTTGCTCTATTACAACTAAAAAGGTAACTGCAAAATATATTTCATTCATATTATTCCTTTGGTCTCATGCTCTCCCTACAGCTTATAACCCACCATCAAGATCTTGGAAAATTAAGGAATTATTTTGGAGTTATTTTGCAAATTTCATAAAAACATTCAAAAGAGATGAACAATTATCCCTTCATAATTCATAAAAACTCATCACTAATTTTCACTACTCTACTAAACTAACTTTCCCCAATATTTTTTGAAGAACTTCACAAGAATTAGATTAATATAAAACAATTATATTTACAATGAGACAATTTCTTAAGTAGTTTTACTATGTCTATGCCTCAAAGCCATTAATTAAATACAATATCGATCCCATCACTGTGTATCTCACCTTGTAAATTCTGCGAAGTAACACAGATGCAAAAAATCGTAATGTTACTCTTAATTCATCCACAGGTGAGTCATCATCAGTTATCTCCCTACAAAATTTCAAAACAAAAATATCTTAGTTTGGCTGCACTTTCGTTGGTTTAATTTTATCAAACAAGAATATTAATTTTTATTTTAGGTTTATATTAGTTTATGAATTTTTTCTTCGTATACATTTTATAATCTTTATATTATTTCTTATGTATCTTATCTGTAAATCAACAAGCCTTTGGTATTCCGAGTCTTATTTTCTTTTGACCCCCCAAATAAGGGCTTGGCCTTATTATCGGGGGATCTTATTATTTTGGGGGTGCAGGAGGTGGTAAGCGTGGGACTGGATGTCCCATTGCTGCCGTCGCCTCCCCTCCCCATTCTTCGTGTTGGCCCCTGCCCTGACATCTTCAGCCACCGCTGCTTCCTCATGGAGCAGGACTTTGCAAGGCTTGTGCCATTGCATGCACTAACTGCAGCACCGCCACGAGCTTCATCATACTGGTACAGCTGGCATCCTGCCACTCACGGCTGTGCCAGTATGTCAAACCTCGCGGCTGTGCTGCAGTTCCTGCATGCAATGGCACAAGCCTTGCAGAGTCCTGCTCTACGAGGTGGCGGAGGCAGCGCAACGAGTCTCACTAGTTTCTGGCAGGTGGGGCGGGGGAGAAGTGAGACGCATGATGTGGCTCCCCTTGCCGTCTTTACTCCCCCGCCCCCTGTTGGGCATGACAGGGCTCCTGCCCCTCACTTAGCCACCCGCCCCCCTTTAGGGTGTAATTTGGGGGTGGCAGGTTGGGCGGGCGAGAATCATCTCACTTCTCCCCCGCCCCACCTGCCACCCCTCTCAATAAAGAGACGGTGGGGAAGAGAAGCAGCCAGGCTGCTGTTGCCATTGGGGTGGGACGGGATGTGTTGGGCCGCAAGATGCACGTCTTACCTTTCTAGCACCATCACGTTCCTCGCTGTTCTGTCCAGGGAGACACGTTGTAGAAAAAACTTTCTCACGAGTTCAGCCAAACTCCTTAAACTCGCGAGAAAGTTTTTTCTACGTGTCTCCCTGGACAGAATGGCGAGGAACGCGACAGTGCTGGAAAGGTAAGATGTGTGTCCCGCTTCTCGCCCGCCCCACCTGCCATCCCCAAATTGCACCCAAAAAGGGGGCGGGTGGCTAAGTGAGGGGCAGGAGCCCTTTCATGCCCGGCGGGGGGGGTGGGGCGCGTAGCGGGGGGCTTATTTTGCGGGGGTGGCTTATATTATCACACGTCTTGAAAAGTCTGATTTGCCTTATTTTCATGACATGTCTTATTTTCGGGGAAACTAGGTAATCTTCTCATCATTCCTATCACCTATCTCCTCCCACTTTTGACTGTATGACTGTAACTTGTTGCTGTATCCTTAAGATTTATATTTGTTTCCTACTATGATTCGATTACTTATTTGTATCCTATGACTATCATTAAGTGTTGTACCTTGTGATTCTTGATGAATATATGTTTTCTTTTTTATGTACACTGAGAGCATATGCACCAAAGACAAATTCCTTGTGTGTCCAATCACACTTGGCCAATAAAACATTGTATTCTATTTTATTCTATTTCCTCCTGCATTTCTCATTCAAGCTACATCCCTATTCGCCTTTTGCTGAAGCAAATTAGAGATCAGAACAGTAGCCAGCACTTTTCCTGCAGTAACTTCCTAAAGAGCAGCACTTTACTATTGTCGTTAAGTGAAGAATTCTGAGAAAGCCTTTGAAATGGTCTTCTAGCAGTTTTCCCAGTAAATTTTAATTTAACTTCTATTTTTTTTTGTTGCAAAGTTTAAACTTGAAAACTGGAACAAATCTTACCATTTGTTATCGCTCCCACCCGTCACCGCTGCAGCTGCCCATTGCTGCTGCCTCCTATCGCCGCCTCTGCGTGCCCCATTTTCGGTCTCTACGTGTCCCATTTTTTGCCCGTTCCAGGTAGCGGGGATCACTGTCGCCGCCATCTATCCCCAACACTTGGAATGGGCCAAAAATGAGACGCGTGGGAGCAGCAATGGGCAGCAAGGCAGTGACGGGCGAGGGCGATCTTTGCAGCCTGGAACAGCTTATAGGTGGTATTCCGGGAGGCCGATCCAATCACCAATCAGCTGCTTGTGCAAAATCAGGCTGTGCTGAAGCTGACCAGGCTGTTTGCTGCAAGGAGGTAAATTGTAAAGAGGTGGGCAGGGCTTCAGCAACATTTGCTGTATAAGACGCACAGACATTTCCACCCACTTTTCTGGGGGAGGAAAGTGTGTCTTATACACCGAAAAATACAGTAAGTGTCCTTATTCTGTTATAAATCATATTGGATGTCCTGGATTTTATCCCCCGAGAACCTAAATAAACCTGAAAGTAAGATAACAACATTGTCTTAGGGAGATCAGATGGAATTTCAAAGGCAAATTATATAGAAACCTTACCTGTACCAAGGATAAATAAAATTTTCTAGTACTAGTTCAAACATCTGCAAACAAGTAAAATAATTAAGATGTGTATAATAGCCAACAATAATACTTAGCACATATAAACATGCAAAAACACTAATATTTTTCACTCTGCGCTTTGTAATTCAAGTTGCTTGCTCATAATAAATGAGATAACCAAAGACATGGTATGCAACTGAAGGACATATTCAATAACATACATATAACTACAAGGGCTACCTGAATCTATGTTCATATCGGTAGTTATAGGTTCAAGAGTACAACGAGGTAAATTCTTGCATGCATCCAGATTAGCACTTGGATTTTCTAATGCTGTTATGTTATCAGCAGCCAGAAAGGATTAACTATCCTACCAGGGTAGCAACTTAAAAATAATGAAAACTGTTGTTCATCTTGGGATTTAGAAAATATGACAGAAATGTTTATGTTTAAGCATTTTAAGAAGAATAGCAATTGATACCGCTACAATTAAAAAAGCCTTCTGGTTTAAAAAATGAGTTACAGGAGTTATCTATAACTGATGATGATAAACAATTACCTCTGATAAGGAAGTATCAACTTTAGAAGGAACTTTCAGGCCCAGCCATGGCTGATAATCTTCTAATAGAGATGCAGGTCTATAGAAACAACAACAAAAATATTCCATTCATCCCCATTAAGATATGAAAATATAATTACCGCTACCCCGCTGAAATATTTTAACTCACCCATGTCTATTACATTTGATATCTTCACATATAGCACAACTGCCATTCTGGGAAGATTGTTCTTGCAATTTTAATTGCTAAAATGAAAACAGAAAGGAATTCATTCTTCAGAATATTAGTAAAATTACTATCCATTTCAAGGGGGTTTTTTTGGTAACAAAACTGATCAAGCTTTGTCAATTGTGGAAGTGAGGGAATGCAATTACCGGTAGTCCTCGACTTACGACAGTTCGCTTAGTGACTGTTGGAAGTTACAATGGCACTGAAAAAAGCTTATGATCATTTTTCACACTTATGACCGTTGCAGCATCCTCATAGTCACGTGATTTACATTTGGATGTAATGTAGTGACCTTCTGAGAAATAAAGTCAATGGGGAAACCAGGTTCACTTAACAACCGTGTTACTAATTTAAGAAGTGCAGGGATTAATTTAACAAATGTGACGAGAAAAGTTGTAAAATTAGGCAAAACTCACTTGACAAATTTCTCACTTAACAACAAACTTTTGGGCTCTATTGTGGTCGTAAGTTGAGGACTACCTGTACAGTATGGAAAAAATAGAAATTATTCCCCTGGCATAAATACATCAGGTAGAAAGTTCAGTTAATTCACACATGGAAGCAATTCTCAAATGTATAGTTTGGATCCCACTTTCAAAACATTTCTCTTCTGCCTTCCCTTTCTCCCCACTAATCCTTATTAGCTATTACTGAAAAACTAACTTTCCCATCAAGCCAACCAAATCAGGGAAATAGGAATAGATTACCTAGTCTTACCTTGGATAATGCTGCAAGTGAAAACTTTGCAAGTTCCCTTCTTTTTAACACTAGAATCAGTTCTGGGTTTATTTATTTAAAGCAGCAGGAGTATCAAACCTTAGCTGAAAATACAGGTAGCCCTCAACTTACAACCATTCGTTTAGTGACAGTTTGAAGTTACAATGGCACTGAAAAAAGTGATGTATTTTTCACACTTATGCCTGTCGATCACGTGTTTAAAATTCAGGCACTTTGGCAACTAGCATGTTATTTATGACGATTGCCGTGTCGCAGGAGCACGTGAGCATCTCTTGCGACCTTCTGAAAAGCAAAGTCAATGGGGAAGCCAGATTCCGTATTAACTTTACTGCAATTAATAACAATTAACAATTGTGGCAAGAAAGGTTTTCAAATAGGAAAAGACACCCCCCCCCTTAACAACTGTCTCGCTTAGCAACATAAATTTTGGGGTTCACCCAAAATTAGTCGTAAGTCAGGGATATCTGTAAGTAGAAAAATACAAATTGCCTTAGAATCTCCCTCTTTCATTACAACTTCAAGTCACTTCTCCAGTATCATAAGCTTGCCAGCACTATTCTCATAACACCTACTTCTGAAGACTCTGGGCTTTTTTTTAATATGCATGTTTCATAGCATTTTTGTATGATCTACAGAAAGCAAAATAAGGATGAACAATGTCTTCCTAACCACGATTCTGAAATATTAGTTCACTACTAGGTAATATATTCAGTATTTATGCAGTGAACTCAACAAAATAATTCTTTATATGTTATGAATACATCCTACCCAGTAAGTCAATAAAAATCTATCAAGTAATTTAATTGATTAAAGAACAGTCTTACAATCGATTTTCTGAGAATGGTAAAAGAATGAAAACTTTTTTTAAAATGCCATTAAACTTATGGGTGAAATGAAACTAACTTTATTAATCCACAATGGCAAAATGGATTTCCTGTTCCCACTATAAATCTCTACATAAAGAATCCAAATTTGTCAAACAACTAGGAAATGTTTCAAAACGTAAGGGTGGAAAAGAAAAGTAGAATAATAAGTTTATTTAACACAAGCTTAACACAATAACAAGTTTATTGCTACAACTTTATTCTTCCTTTTAGATCAAGGATATATTTAATTTGCTTCACAGCAACTAAAAGTAATTAGCAATGAATAGATCTAAAATGCCAGCTTCTCGTGTAACATTTAAAAATGCTGGAGCCTGCAGGTAACACAAGCAATATTTCACTATTGTCCATAAAAAAATATAAAAAGTACACTGACAAAATTATACATTACCTTGGATTTTTGTTTTATTGTAAACAGAATATTTGGTAAGAGGGTATCTGGTCCTAAGTAACAATAGAATGTTACAAATCCCGCCACAAAAGACCAGAAGATCATTAAGATGTGACGATACCTCAAAAGTAAAAGGAAAAATTACAATCCAACAGCGCAAAATAACATAGCCCTGCTTCCAACTCTGGAATATTATATTCAATACCTACATGCCCAATGTATAATTACATACCTATCAAAACAGTCATCCTGCATGGTATTTACTTCAGAAATAGCATACTCAGGCCCAATAGGCCAATTCACAGAATATTTTATTAATATTTTAAAGAAAAATGTTACTTTGTTGCCCAGAGTCGCTCTGGATAGTGAGATGGGTGGCTTATAAATTTCGTAAGTGAATAAAAAATACTGTAGTTAGGAATATGTAAATAACATATATCAAGAAAGGGAGGGAGGGAGGAAGATACCAACCAAAGCCCAACTTTATTTTTTAAAAAATATCTCCTCAGTGTAAGAGTTCCAAAATGGATATAAATACTTTATTAAATATGAATTTGTCTTGGGTTCAAAAAAAGCTGGCAATTTGATGCTTTAGTTTCATTTCAGCAATTTAAGGGGAAATCTCTTTACAATAACTAAAGAGCAACTATTGGGATCATCCTGCAGATGGAATCAGTTAAGTCCTTTGCACCTAGCCCTACTCTTGATCCTTTCCCCTACTATTTCAGAATGGAAAAAATTTCAGATATACAAACCAACAAGAAACCCTGGTTATACATCCCTATTTCTATAATTCCAAAGCAGTTGTTGCTCTAGCTTCAGAAAACAAAGCAATTTAAGACAAGGGAAAATGACAGGAAGCACTCATTTGTTAACCAGGCTTTTTTTGTGTGTGTGCTAATTCTGTAAACACAACTGCACTGTTTCACCTTGCCTTGGAGGCTATTATGTCTTGACAATTAAAATCAGAACAGCAGTTTACTTTAAAAAAAATTTTTTTTTTAGCTATGCTTCCAAGAGTCACAAATCTGATAGTATTCCTTAACCGGTCCTTTCCAGATTCTGACAATGTATTTGTTATCTGAATTTTGCTTTGCATACAGTATGACCATAGCTTATAAAATCTCCTCAGCCTGGCATTAACAGATGTGATAAACTATAACTCCTATTAAGTCTTCTAAAACATCTATACTTAAATAAATATTAAAATTCACTAGTGGTGAAGGAGTTGATATCCATTGTTCTAACCAACTTCCTCAGATCTCTGAACAATTCACACCGTCCTTTCTTTCCTAAAGGGAAGTTTTGAAGCTGAACTCAAACCAGTCTTGCTTATATTGGAACAATTATAAATTCCTCCTTCATAACAAAATGTTCTTGTTTACAAGTGGATTATGTAGAGACACAAAAAGTGAAATTAGCTAGTCTCCTTTAGAAAGTTGGTAAGAAAAACAACCATACACGTTCATTTATGTTTATGCCTTCTACCTGCCTGAATCATGCTTAAAAGGAAGGGCATAAACATATGGTAAGAAATTAGCAAAGTTGGATAATTGACTGGGGTTGGTGAAACCAATGTGTGCTATGCTTGAGTTACACCTATAGTACTGTGAACTGAATGGCTGGGGGAAGGAAAAACAATCCATCAACTTCCCTATCTGTGTATCTGACCATATCAGCATCCAATCCTTACTTGGCCAGGAGTTCTAGATGGGTGAGCCAGAGCCCCGTGGGAATCACATTTAAAAAGAACAAAAAATAAGCAACCACACTTGCAACACTAAAGTAGGACATTACCAAAACTGGTTCTGAGCTTTATCCATTTGCCAGAGCAAGTCCTACAGCTTACAGTTCCACAACATTCGATAACTCGGTGGTGGTGGTGGTGGGAATAAAGCTTATAAAAGTAACACACATCTTTCTTTCTTCTCCAACCCAATGAAATTATTTCCTTGGAGGGGGAGCGGGGGCTGTGACACAAATCCACTTTTAGGAGATCGCAGCGCTACATACTTTGAGAACCTGATATGGTTACCGAGGAATCCCAATCATATCAAAAGGCTTTTGCCTCTGTTTTTAGAAAGCATCACATCTTTCCCCTTCTTCATATCCTAATCAAAAAGTGTCATTTCCCTTCTGGAGTTATATCCTCCTCCATCGCCCCGTAGGGAGAAGCTGCGCCAGCAGGCACATGTAACCAAGTCCAAAGCCATCTCGCTCATAGCGGCCAGCACCAGACCCGGACCCAGGCGGGCTTCTCTCCTTACCGGCTGAGTAGGAGCGTTGCCACACTGAACCCCAAAAGGATACAGCAAAACAAAGGGTACTGGCGGCAGGTCTCGCGCAGAACGTCCACCCGGCGCGCGCGCTGGCACAGCCTCTCCACGGCCGCGCGCGCCCACCTCATCCTGGAGGATGGGGGGAGACTGCGCCCCCGGCTTCAGCTTGACCCGAGGATCCCCAGGCGCTCCGTAGCACACTTGAAGGGACCGAAAGCCCCTGCCTTCCGGTTTCCAACACTCGAGCCCTTCGCATCACGTGGCGGAGGGCTAGACCAATAGCGTCGCTCCTCCAAGGCGGAAGATAATCCTCGCCGGCCCCTGAAGCCGTTCTTGCTTACTTTCCCACCCGGGTTCCCTTAGTTAGCCCCAATACACCGCTGCTTGAAAGGAGCGGAGTTCTTTCTTTCCTTTCGATTTCTTCTCGCGATCTCTCGAGTCGCAAAAGCTATCGACCAAACAAGAAGGGGCAGGATGAGGAGGCACTTCCGCCCTTACCGTGACTCTTTTGGTTGCCCTTTAGCCTGGAGGAAATAAAACCCATTAAAATGGCGGCGTTGATCGTTGCCCAGATCCCCGGAACGCCGAATAACTCGCGTTCTATTGGATGGAAGCCTTGAAACTATATAAACGCGGAAGCACTGCCCCCCCCCCCCGCCCCCCAATCGCTTTTCTTCCCTCGAGATGCCTGGGCTTGATTGCAGCGTATCCTGCCCACAAATTCACAGCGGTAAAAGATGACAGAAAAGATGGTTTTTCAGCGGTGGCTGTAAACTTGGGGACCAGACGTCGTTGAATATAAATTCCAACATTCGTTTGCAGCTGGCAAATATTGAGGGACGCTGGGAATTATACCACTTCAGCAATCCCAAGAGTACAGTTCCCGTTCATCACTTCCGATGCAAAACCAGTTGGACACCAGATAAATTGTATGCACCTGCTCCCCTAATGCGATATACTCCTGTGCGGCTCCGCGAGGACGCTGAGCAAGCTTGGTTATTAATTAACGCTTGTTGATAAAGTGCTTATGTTTTTGCTGACCAATTCACATTGCTTGATTTTACTGAGTCGCTGTTCTAGATCAATTTAAAGCTAGCTACAAGCCTGTTTATTGGATGAACTCTGCTAAAAACGAGTCTGTTAAACCTTGCAAGCCCCTTATTCTTTCCTGGCTATACTGGGAGGAGACAGCTGCTGTATTTTAAGGCAATTTTATCATACACATCCCAGGGCTCTTCCCCCCAATGATATATATTATACTCTATAAACCTCTCAGCTGACCTAAGTAGAAATAATATAATCGGACTTTCAAAAGTATTTCCAAGTCCATATCTATATTTTTAAAACCATGAACAATTTGGGTTTGAAATATTTAAAGGAATATTTAAAATATTTTCTTGGCTCTAGTGGAAATTTTTGGACATTTCTGTCATGCCCCTTATCCAATTAAATTAGATTCATGAGAACAGGAAACCCAGCCTTCTCTATGGGGAACTCCATTTATGGAAAGTCTTTAGTTATTAATGCTAAAAGTGTAACACTCCTCCTTTGAGGTATTAAAACGTATTTGAAACTTTTTGTATTTTAAAGTTTTAAGTAACTGCGTTATATTGAAAGATGGTTTTATGTCACATACTTATGCTGGGATGTTTTCTTTTAATAATGTCATCCATAATAGTAACTATTATTCTGCAAATCAAAATTCATATAAAATTTACTCACAGGAAAAATAGCTTCTTTGATAAACCTAATTTGGCTTGCTATGTATGCAGTGTGACCTAGATAATTAAGTATAAGTTTTAAAAAATCTTTTTAAGCTTTTGCTTTATAGCATGAACAAAAAGCATAGTACTCACTATCACGCCATATTCCCAATCTAACCCATGACGTGGGAAGTTTAAAACCAAAACTAATTTAAAGTACTGTAGTTTCTTTATCTTTAGACATTTTTCTTTCAGAAAATTCATTAGGTTATTTTAACAAAGCATATACATTTTGTACTTTAGCTTACAATGAAATGGTCAATATCCAACAAAAATTAAAAGTAGTTTCAGAATTAAACTACTAAATATACTGCTCAAAAAAATAAAGGGAACACAAGCAGAAGACATCCGAGATCTGAATGAATGAAATAGCCTTATTAAATACTTTGTTCTTTACATATAGTAGTTTATACATTGCTCAAACAACTAAAGGGAACACAAAACTACTGTATGTAACGAACAAAGTATTTAATAAGGCTATTTCATTCAGATCTCGGATGTCTTCTGCTTGTGTTCCCTTTATTTTTTTGAGCAGTGTATAAATGCAAACTATACAAAATGGGCACCCCCAAATAGCAAATATGAGTTTCATTTGAATAGTCTTAAAAACTAATGCAAGTCTGGTTATCCAAATGTCTGTACATGTACTTTTCTCATATACCATGTCCCAGCCAGTAGTCCCACTACAAATAAGTGCTTTGGTACTGGCATAGAATTCATGATTCTGTTTGGAGTACAGTGGATTATTAAAGCAGTTACATTCTGCATTCAAGATAGAGTCTCGTATATTAATATTCTGTGAATGGTTTTTCTATTCCTAGGCTAACCTATATAGATCACATTTAGAAACCGCCAATCTCCCTTATAGAACATTTCTGGGTGGTGTAAATGTAGGCATAAAAACACAAAAGCTATATATAATTAGCATGTTTTATGTCTCCACAATTATGTGCTCCTCTGTTGGCAGCACAGCCAGGCCTACAGACTTTCCAAAAGGCCAGGAAAGGGAGCTCACCTTGCTTCTGGGGGGAGAACATTTCAAAGGGCAACTTGCATCATTTTACCCCCAATCTCTGTATCTGTGAATTCATGAACATTTGCAAATTGAATGTGAGTTAGTGTGCTAGGCAGAATACTGTCAAATTTTCCTTCTTCCAGTCTTTTGTATGCAGATGGGATAAAATGGAATTCCTTCCATTTAAGAATTTTATCTCACCTATTTTAACTCACACATACTGAAATGTGTACTACCTACTTACCTGCATTGTTTGTGCACTTCTTCAGAATAGCAGACAATCATACTAACATATCCCTATTCTAGAAGGGTGTGTGAATATTAGAATTAAATATGTATGACATTGTTTAACTTTATGTTTCTAAGTGTTTCCACGCATGTACTATTCCTAGAATTCCAAGTCTTTTTTGGGGGGAAGCAGTATACACTTCATATAACATCTTGAAATTTTGTTCTAAAAAGTATTAAGGTGTAATTTTTTTTCACTGGAATACTGTGGCATAACACAACTATAGTACATACAATGTCATAGGTTTGTTTCTTTTGCAGCAATTAAATCCAACCAAATTCATTGCTTGATTAAATGTAGCCTCCAGTTAGTCATTCATATTTAACTTATAAGCAAATACTGATTCTAATCTCAAAAGTACAATCTTAAGCAATTTACAACTATTTCATTTTTAAGGAATATCCTTTTTTGGAATCATCATTTGAGTTTAATTTCCAATGTGTGATTTTTTTCACCTTTTACTGTAATAAAGTATGCTTAACATCACCCCTCCTATTTACTTCATAGAATGTAATTTTCTACCAAGGATTACAAAAATATATGCATACTTTTTTACAGTTTTCTTTAAAAGTCATCTTGTATACCAAAGGGCAGAGAATTTCAGGATACCTTTACGTAGCTGACATTTCTCAGTTAATGATTTCTTGTCAGAATATTCTATAAAGACTGTCTTAAATTGTGTTTAATTTTTGATGATCATGCCAATACATAGCAAACTATTCAAATAGTTGCAATTGCCTTCTTTCAGGATTTTTTAAGCTCCCACATCTAGTTTATAAACCCTGGGATTTCCAGATTTTTTTTTCTATTTCAGCCAAGCTCAGTTATATACTATCTGTGATATAAGAGTATTTGTTAGAGTATAAACAATCACAGTTAGTTTACTCACCACTTCTTATATTCACTAATGTTTGCAAACATAGTTGCTTATTAAGTTCACTTTAGTTCAGCTATATGCTGTGTAATATAGACTGTAAAGTCTAGAATAATTGCTTTAAACATGGCTTCCAAGAAATACTATTTTTCATTAAAATAGACTAGTTCCAATCCTTGGGCTTTTATAAGCTGCAAAAGTAACTTGTATAAGCTACTCAATTCTGGAACACAAATATCTTCATTAATTTATAAACTAACACAGAATTATATACCTCCAACATTCCTGTTGTAATACAATAGTAAATCTGTCTTAATATGACATCAGGATGTGTGATATTTCATAAGCATCATATCCTGATAACTTCAATAAATGTTGATGTGATCTACAACATTGACATCCGTCATGATCAATTCAGTGTCATCTAAAATCATATATCTATATATCCATTAGTGAAATCTCATTTCCTTTACATATTCAACTTTAAAATTTTCAAAATTAACATTTTCTCTTAAAAGATCAATTTTTCCACAATACAAGTTTCCACATGCATTTACGGTAGCTTTATCATTATACTGTTAAAAAAACTGCACCAATGTCAGAACAGTGCAAATAATGTTTAATTGTAAAAGTCAGAATGGCTTGAATTCATAATTATTCGAGAACACTGTCAAGATTCTGTTACTTATTACTCACCATTGCTTACAAACTCTACAGATAAGTCAATTCCAGTCCATTTTGACATGTATCCTATAGCCCACCTTCTCTTGCGGACATGTGATTAAAATTTCAGCTTCCATATTATTATAAATTTTCATTTTTCATCTGCATCAATATTTGTTCTGAATAAATAATCATTTATCCCTCCCCAGTCAAAATCAGTTACACTTGAAAACTTTTAAGAAGTTTGTTTTTCAGCAATGGGAGGGATTGGGAAGATCCAAGTTAAGATGGTATTCCCACTTTCTAAAATTCCTATAAAGAATCAGGTCAGATTTGGCATGAACACCTTGACAGTGCTCTTCATTAAACCATGACAGTAAAGATGCCAGTTGGCACTACAACCTCATTGAAGGGAGCATTTCAACCTCCTTGGCACTGGGATTGCCAATACCAAGGATTACAATGAAATCAAAATTTAAGGCTACATTTAGCAAACCTAAATTCCATAAACCTCATCCTATCAAGTTTAAGATTTTAGAAGCTGATGCAACACTCATATTTCTTATTCAAATATGGAAAGTAGAACTTTACCATGGGCAGCATATGAAACTGTGGCAATAGGTGTTTCATTAAGCAATGACTTTTTATCATCAGCCACTTAGCTTTTCTCTTAACTAGCAAGGCACATTTACATATTCCCATGAATACTTGACAAATTTTAAATTACACTTTATGTCCCAGCTATCCCAGTAATTGACATACAATATACTAAAATGGTTTATTAATATAACAAAAATTCAATTAATGTGAGAGACAGACTACTGGAAATGACTATTCTAAAAAATGTAAATACAAGTAAACATACTGAAATGTGTGCGCACGAGTTTTTAAACCAGAAGATTTCTGCACTAACACACATTTATATTAATGACACATAAAAAAAATAAAAACTTTATTACAAAAATAAGTTACACTTGCCTCCAGCTTACAGTATAAAACAATTTTATTTGCAGGAATGCAAAATGATTGTTTGCAATGAGCAATTTAACATATGACATCTATTTTTTTTTAAATTTTTTTCATTTACTGGGGAACTGGTGTGTATAAAACCTTAATTCGGTGTCTCAGATCTTATTGTGGTGCCTACAGGTAAGTAACAACTGCAGTATCCCTTTGGGGAAGGTATAACAAAAGCTCTTTCTGTGAAGTCCGTATTAGATCATAGTTTATCTTACCTATGCATAGTTGGACTTGATAGAACTTTTTGGAAGAGTGATTCAATAGAGGATGCTTCACCACTTAACACTCACTGTCATCAAGGTGCTTTAGAAAATTAAAACATAGCACAAATGATTGTATTCTACTCTACAGATTATCATGATCTGCATAAAGAGAAAATGGAAAGCTGATCTGCTTGTTTTTACAGCAATCAGCAGTAAGAAATGCACTAATGAGAAAACAT